TAGCAAACAGAATTGTTCCAAGTTACAGAGACATTAGATCCATCTTATGGAAGACCAGAGGCATTTATAGTAATAATACCACCTTAAGAAGTAATTGATTAAGGATCTCCTTTACCACTTTATTAAGAAACAATTTAGACATCATATGGATTAGGATTAGCTGGAACTTTAGTAGAACGTACTGTAGTTAGCCTACTTTTATTGAGGGCTTTACCAGGCTTTGAAATAAATGTAGCGCCATAGAATCCAGCAGGATGAGAGTAATCAATTTAACAAGTTAAAGAGCTGTATGAATCTCCATTCTAAGGTTCGTCTTCATTTAAGCCCAAATTAAATCTATCACAAAGTAGGTTTCCAATTAGCATTTTATCTATTTAATTTGTGTTAGTAATTCTAAAATTACCCCACCAATTCACATCGACTTTAGGGAGAATAGAACGAGGCATAATTAAATCAATGATAGGTGTCTTAGATCCTGAATAGGAAAAAGTACATAGAGAAGCGTCGCTTTAAGCACATTAAGAGTCACTTCTGTTCAGTACTTTAACAACAACTGGAAGACCCCATTGATTATTATTATCATAGGCAGGAGTTGTAATACATGTGATAAAAACTTCATTAACACCCATTTCTATATGATATTTTTAAAAATTAATAATTTTAAATTGAAATCTGAAAAAAAACAAACCATCAAATTTTTTTTTCTTAAAATATTTGTATTGTAAGTTAAGCGAAATAATAGATAGATGGATAGATTCAAATTAAACAAAATTTGGATTGATTGAAAAACCATAATTTTTATCTGATAAAAATAATATTAAAAACTTTACCTGGAACAACACAAGGATATGGCCCAACGAAGATAGAGTTATTAGCTGCATTATGAGAATCGTGACCTACAATTTTTATGTAGAGTCTAGTACCACCATTTATAGAGCCTAGTCTTTAAAAATTGTCTGTATCAATCTAAGTAGAAACTGAGAGAATTCTCACAGAATCAACGTTAGCTCCAATTTCTACAGCCAAACCTATTCATTAAAAATAACATTTTTAATATTAATACTAAAAGAAAAAATTTTAAGATTAAGAATTTAAGTAGAAAGTTAGCTTTGTAATAATTATAGTCAAACTTAACATACATGAAGCTGCAAGTAGGAGCAAGATTAGTCCAAAAGCTTTAGTAACTCTCATTAGAATATAAGCAAGTGGATTTATAGTAATTATGAAAAGTGAAATAGAAAACTTATATTTATATGTTTTATTCTAATTTTTTTGAGTTTTTTTTGCGCGTAGTTTTTATAATTGTATTTTGTTATTAATTATTTATTTTTATCCAACAGCTTGCTCCTCTAATATTTTTATAGGCTCTTCTAGATTTTCAATAATTTAATTCAATGGTAATTTTAAAGTTTTTATTTGGAAAAGTATGTTTATGGATTACAGTTGATTAAATTTTGCATGAATTTATCAATTTTGTATTTTCTTAGATAATATGATATTTATTTGATTAGATTTACCATTTAATTAATTAATTAATTAATTAATTTCTCTCTTCGATTATTGTCATCAATGTAATTGACAGTTTGAGAGGCAAGTTTTTTACACTTTATTGATTTGATAACTATGAATGAAACAATATCTATTTCTATTGTCTTGTCTTTCCGAATTTCACAGAAAACTTAGCAAAGAAACACTGGAAATTAATATTTTTTTCTATAAAATTCATATTAATAAGTAGGAATACAGATACTTCTATAAATTCTTCATAGAATAATTTAGGATAAAAATTTTACCTTAAATACTTTCATATCACCTCATTAAGAAAAATATGAGCGCGATATATTCTGAATTTCTATTAAGTCCTCCATTCATAAAAATTAATAGAGAAGTAATGTTATTTTTATTTTAAAAAAGGTTTAAGATTAAATTTATTAATTAATGAGTGGTTGGTAGTATTTGAGTGATAAGATAAAATCTCTTAATATAAACCATAAATTTTATAATTCCTATCCTCCTATCCGCTTCAAATAATATACTCTAAATGAAACCTTACAATAAAATAAATATTAATTTCTTTTTTTTTAATCTTGATGAAAATATAAAATTTGAGAAAAGAGACTATGTGATTAAATTATTTTTAATCTAAATGCTTGAATGATTAGGAGAAAAAAATAGCAAACTCAGATATTAGAATCTGTTTTTTGATAAATTAGAAAAACTTGCTTGTACCATACATGATAAAGATAGATGGAAACATACTTTTAAAAAGAATCAAATTTAAAGCTTTTAATTTGAATGGTATTATTAATAAAAATCAAATAAATTTGTAAGGTCATATTGATGAAAAGATATCTTTATTAAATTTACTACTTTTAAAAATAAATCTTCTCCCCAGTTAATTTTTCTCCACATGCTCAAATAATTCAGGTTTTAATAAAAACTTCAGCCGTAAACCTCATATTGAATAACAAACCTAAATTTTAAGATTAATTTCAATAAAGAGCTAAGTTTTTTACCACTATGAATAAATTACATATAATATGTAATAAAAGAAAATAAATTAATCTATTTAATATTTTTAGCTGGACACCACTCGAGCGACATTTAATATCAGAGATTGCTTTTAAAAGCAAATCAGGTAAATTATAAATAAATCAAGTAATTCAATTATCGAATAATAAAACATCACAAATTTAGTTTTATGTAATGGAATAATTATAGTTTATTTCTTTTTTAAAATAAAAGAAGAAATAAATGACTTAAAATTTAACTAATAATATTAACATTTCATTCATTTATTCATATATATTTTTTTTATATATTGTTAAAAATAATATTTATTTTGTTTAAATAATATAAAATAAAAAAAATTCATATTGCTTTTTTATATACAATCTAAAATCATTCACTAAATAAATTAAAATTAAAAATATTTTATTATAAATAAAAATTGAATTGAAATTTTTATTTTTAATATATATCTTTATCATAGCAGCATATAGCAGCATCAGCTTTTTTTACTAAATTGCTATTTAATAGTAAAAAATAACAAAAACTTTATTTATAGATTGTTTTTATTAAAATCTCTAAGCTGAGAGCAAAAAATTTATTTAGGTAAATATTTATTTTTAACATTTACAATTCTTGTGAATAATATTGATAATACAAATCAAAATTTTGAATTTATAGCCACATTAATTTAATTATTATATTTCTTACCAATTATTCAAGGCTAATGATATTATTAAAATTAATAATTTAAGGGATATTTTAAGTCTGTTTTCTTTTTATGAAAACATTAAAAAGGTGTAAAAATATTATAATCTATTTAAGTTAAGAAAAGCTTAATTTTTCTCTATTCAAAGATTTATTAGAGAGCAAATTTAAATAGATAATTATAATTAAGAAACAGATTGCTGAGTATAAAATAATTAAATTTTATTTTTTATGGTAATTCCAAAGATTTTAAATGAAAAATTTTGAATTACATTTCTTTTTTAAATTATGTTAAAAATATCAAATTTTTAAATACAATTTATGCTACTCAGCAATTAATTTATTTTTAGAAACAGATATAAATAGTAAGTCATTTGGATTTTACCTTTAAAATATATTTAATCTTTTATTTCAAAATGAAATTTTTTACCTTTTTTAACATATAATCAATAATTAATTATATAATACTGGATTAAGGAAAAAGCCATAAAAACTTTAGTGAATAATTTAATAAACAATAAGAAACATATTCATTTGCTTAACAAAAATAAATTACATTTTTTAAATTTTATTTGATTAATTATGATATAATTAAAATCAAATTTCATAACTTTTTTTTCATAAATCTGTTTGTGGTTAAAAATTTTATTTAATGTTAAAATATATTTTTCTAAAAAAATTAGTTTAATTAACTTAGCTTCCATATTTTGCTTTACTTGATTAGGCTAATTATGAAATAGATATAATGTTATAAAGTATGTGTTATTAAATAGTATTATTAAAATATTATTATTTTTAAAATAAGGTTAAATAATTTTTATTCAATAAGATTAAGTTCCTTCTGAAATAAATTATTTAAAATAATATATTTTGTTATGGGTAAATAAAATCATAACTAAATATTTAAGCAATTTAATAGGTTAAAATGAGGAAATTAAAATTTTAAAAGAATATGTCAAAATATTTAAAAAATAAATTTTGTAGATTAAATAGAAATTGTATAAAAAATGATAAAGATCAATCAAAACTCATAAAAATTTATATGAATAAAAATAGTGATTTAAATAAAAACAAACGAGTGAAAATTTTTTATATCTATTTGTTAATAATCATACCTTAATAATAAACATAGTAAATGATACAGTTTTTAATTAATATGGATTTATTTTTTAAACTTTTTTAAAAAATATCTTAAACATTTTAAATTTTCTCTTAGCTTCAAATGTTGTATTTTAGCTATTTTTAAATTAAAATAACTTAATAGGATTATTGATTCTTTTTTTATTCTTAGTTTGAAGTTCAAAATATCAAAATTTTATTCATTCAGTTCTTTTTACCTCAAAAGAATTAAGAATATTATGATTTTTTAAAATTTTGAAATATTGATTTTATTTTGTTATTTTTTCAATGTTTTTTAGAAAAAATCAAATCAAATAACATATTTTTTTCTTTTTGAAAGAAAAATCTTATTATAAAACTATAAAGTAACATAAATAAATTTATTTTTAAACATATTGAAATTAATTAAAAATGTTTGTTGAAAAAATATATTTATTACTTTTAATAAAAGTTTTTAAGTAACAATTTAATAGTATTTTTGATAATAAATATATTTTTTTAATAAATAATTTAACATGTTTAAAAAATTAGAAATGAGACAGATTTTAAAAATATGAATCACTATTTAGACTTAGTATTACTGACACATAAATATAGATGGTCATGAAGTAAAAAATATGAACTTTAATAATATTATATTTATATATATAAATTTAATTTTCCAATCAACATTAGAAAGGAGCTTATGAATTGTTAGCTTTTTCTTATAATTAATCAGTAGCAGGATCTAAACCCAAAGGAGCATGAGCCTTAACTGTCTCCTTTTCAGGTTCAATTTCTACAGAGTGATCATGATCAGCATGCTGAACCTTTAACATTGTCTTTCTTAGTTGGTATCTCTTATAAGCACAGAAACCTACAACAGCGATAATCACAACAACCAAACCAATTACTACACCAAGTACGATAGCCAAAGTGTTGTTAGAATCGGAAGATGATTATTTGACAATAGGAGTATTTGGATTAGCATTTTAACCATAAATACCACCGTCAGAATTAGTTTATACATATACTTCAGATGAAACAACTGAATATGTATTAGGAGCTATTCCTGGAATAGAGTTACTTTAAAGACCGGCTTGTAATTTAGCAACCTTGTTTACAAAATCTTGGTGGACTGTCTTTGGATCTACTGTACTAGTTTATGAACGTCTATCTACAATATCTAAAGTGAGATCAAATCCACTTTAGCTTGAAGATGAAGAAGTAGAACTTGATGATCCAGCTTGTAAAAATCTACTACTTGAAGTAGCTCCAACTACTTTAACTTAAGAATAATCAGTGATACCTAAGAAGGAGGCTACAGCTGAAATAAAACTGAATTTATTATTGCCTTAGAAGAATTGTGAAACAGGGATAACTACTTTAACTTAGATACGAACAGTATCAAGCACTTAAACACGAACTAAGCAATTAGCAGCACCATTGATAACAAATTGAATAGTACGAGAACGCCAGTCATAAACATTAGCACCACAAATACTAGTTTTAGTTGTTAGGACTTCATTATTAATGAAAGGATCTACAGGACTGCCGCCATCAATAGAAACTTCAAGATTATTAGGAATTTAATATTAAGAAATGAAAATCACCCAAATATTAGGTTCTCCAACGTTGTCATTTGTTCTTTATTAAATTCTATGGATAATGTTGTAGGGATTTAAACCATTGTATGCAATGTTATAAACAGTGTTTATAAGGGCAGTAGCATAATATCTATTCTCTCTTAAATTCATAGGCTCATTACCATCCCATTACCATTCTCTATACATATTTATCTTATTGCTATAAGTAGTTCCATCAAGTGATGTGAGCATACATGGGGCAGTAGATCTCAAATTATGATCAGGAGCTTCTGATTACCATTCAAGTTAAACATAATTAGTACCTTAGCATGAGTAAGCATTATTCCAATTTGGTTAAGATTTACATCCTTAAGCTATTCCTGCATTATGAGAAATACCTGTAGTAGGTACACCATTGAAGAGACTACCTGTAAAATCAACGTTAAGTACATTTTCTGGTCCAGTGCATAAAAAGAGACCACAACCACCAAACCAACCGGCCCAGGCAGGGTTAGGAGACATGAAATTGAAATAAGCTTCTTCGCTGCAATTAACGCATGTAACATTGTTGTTATAAGTACCAGCAGTATGATCTGAAGCACTAGGATGGGTAACCATCATATGATTATCGCTACATTTGCTGAAATTAGCATCAGTATAAGTCTTCTTGAAATTAACATATTTTACATTAGTTTAATAAAGGGAGGCATCAAAAACTTCAGAATTACAAATAACATCAAAAGAAAGAGGGAAAGTCTTGAGAGGGTAATCTTCACCACCTTCTGTAACAACTAAATTTTATGTACCTGAACCACCTGAACAGACTTAAGCCTTTTAAGAATTGTCATAAGCAGTTGGATCGTTATTTATAGCAACAGCATAAACTGCTGAGTTTTAGAACTGTCCTATATTTCTGTATCCGTTATGAGCAAAACGAAGAACAACAGAACGATTAGATTCAGCAGCTAATACATGTTCTACAATAAGACTGGGTTAAGTAGGATTAACTATCATACCTTTAGTAGAACGAGCTACTGCAATTTTACCAGCCCATTAGCAACCATCAATCGAGGTTTTGAATAGTGCACCTACTAAGCATGTTGAAGCTTAATTACCCCAGATACCAACCTTATTTGAAATACCAGATACACTAGAACAAGGGGTATGAATAAGTGCAACACAAGGACCTTAAGAACCTTAAACATAGTTATTGTTGATAAGGATATTATCAGCAATAGGGTCTTGTGTAGACAAGAAGTAGATTGCAGTGTTCATGTCATAAAGCATACCTTATGTATCGTAAGCATAATCACGCTTAAGAGCTGCAACGAAGTAGTTGTTTGTCAAAGTAATTTTAGTAGACAGATTGATTCTAATAAAGATGGGTTTACCTCTAAAGAAGTTGTTGTTTATTAAATTGATATTTGAAGATGATTCGATATTAGCACAGAAACCTGGACAATCATGGAAAGCTGAATTTTAGACAACACTTACAATTTAATTATTGCTGTCAGAATCATCAAACAAGAAATCAAGACCACCTCTTGAAGTATCCGCTTAACCACAGTTTCTCATTTCAACACCATTCCAAGTTGCAATACCACGTAAATGGAGTTATCTTGTATCTGGAAGAGGATTTCCATTTGAATCAGCTACAATTTACCAATAATGATTTAGAACTCTGCAACCCCAAGGTATACCTTAACTAACAGGAGCTCCAACGATTTTAATATTACGAGTAAGATGGAGAACTTGTGCACGAAGATCAAGTTCTTAAGTATAAGAACCCCAAGTCTCAGTAATAGTTACACTAGAAGCACCATAGTGATAGAATTAAACAGTTGCATTCAAAGTTATGGTATTTCCATTAATTGATTAAATACTGAAAACTTCATTTTCAGTTGCATCTAGTTGAGTAGGTCCAAGTGCTATAACATCGCCTACATTCCAACCGCTTGCGCTAAGAACAGTAATTTAGTTAACACCAGGATTTACAGAAGCAGATAAGCGGGTAGCAGTCGTTGTAGGAGGATTACCAAGTAAAGTGAAGTTACCTGTATTCAAAATAACTTTATTTCCAACATCTATTTAAGAATCAACAACAAACTAAGTGAGTTAATTTCTATCTCCTGTAAGAGTAATTGTGAGGCTTTTTGTATATGGAGTACCAGGGGTAGCACCTTCTGCAATAAACATACCACCTCTTAGCCACATACCATCAGCTTTAACGTTAATATCCTTTGTTGGATCAACACGTAAATTACCTTCGACTATAAGTTAAGAGTACTAAGTAATATCTTAATCTACAATAACTTCCCAAGGACAAGGAATGTATAAGGTACTGTTACCTGGAGTATTAAGTAAAATACCATCTTTTCCATCAAAAGTAATACCTTACCAAGTTTAAGGATTGCTAAGTTGTCTAGGAATACCATCCTTTTTGCACTTGAAAGGAGGGAAAGGACAGTTATCTAAGCAGCTTAAAGCATTAAGATCTATTCTTTCTAAATATTAGTTAGTAGTTGCTTTAGGTCTTTATTTAGAATTTAAACATAAATAAAATGCTTATCCAGCGATATCATTGTACCAATCACCATGATTACAATTTAGAGTCTTCATAGTTGCTAATGCTGATAGATCTTATCCAGCTGTAACATTTTTATATGGCTAAACATTTTTACCAGCAATAGTTTAGAAATTTTACCATGTTTCTCTGTAATCCATGACAGGGAATTTAAGTAATATGGTATCAGCAGCAGTTTCACCTGAATGGTAAGGAGAAAGACCAACACTAAAGTGGGTAAAATCAATTTGAGATAATTCCCATTGAACCTAGAAGATTTATCCAGCCAAGAAGGTACCAACAAAACCAAGAGTAAGATCATCTGCTTTATTTTCGATTTTTACAGACTTTGAAATGTAAAAATCTGAGTCTTTAGTACCTCCAACAGCTTTACCAGTATTATCGCATGGAAGTACATACAAGGCTTTTGATCTGAAATCATTAGAATCAACTGGGTTACTAAATTCAACTCTTACAACTTGAACTGTACAAATAACAGCATTATTCCATTTAGTTTAATCAGCCTAACTAGTAGTACAAGCAGGTTAATTAATGAGATGTAATCCGGCAGGAGTAAGCCACACTTAAGAATTTCTTCCAGTTAAGCTACCATCCAAATCTTAATAAATTTCTCTACGCCAATTTTCCCAGAACATATATTAAGTTGTTTAAATATTCTCATAGGAAATACCAGAAAATAATGTAAGTTTACCACCTTAAACCCATTTTTTGAAGTGCCAGCAGAAAGAACAAGATTTAAAAACTATCGTATTTGGAATAAAGTTTGCGAAATGGACATTTTAAACTTTATAACCATCAGTACGAGGAGTGATAATACCATAAGTATTTTGTAAATCTGCTACATCAGCAGGATTTCCAGATGATTAACCTACAACAAGAGAATTTTGTAGAATTACGTATTCATCTGTTCTGTTAGTTAAGTAAACATTAAAACCAGATTGCTTATTTCCAACCAAAGTAAAATTATTGAAGACCATATTACCAACTTCTTCAGCCAAAACACCATCTTCATTATTTCTATAAGAAAGGAAATTAGACCAAGTGGTAGTAAATGATGGATTGTTAGCAAAAGGATTTGATTGAGTATCATCTCTATAGGGATTGCATGGGTATTACAAATTAGTCATAACAAAAATTCTCAAACCAAAACGATCATAGGAGTGAGCAATATTATCAGTGAATTTACCTAAAGCCATACCTTATGGGCAAATATCGTTTCTAGCAGATGGGCCATCAGGGTGCTCTTTAATTTCATACCAGAAACCATAGAAATCACCACCACCAGCTCTGTTATTAAATACATAATTTAGAGGATTGGTAATCCAATAAGAAGCAGCTGTGATATCAGATTAGAGCATAGACCATACTTATTTAGTTCCTAAAATAAGATTTTATTCAATTATATTATTGGTTTCAATACCATCTTCAAGGAAGATATTGTGACCTGCACAATTAAAACCAACATTATTTTTAACATGAAGGTAGTGAGTAGCATGAATAGTAAGAACTCTTGCAAAAGAGTCATGCACTGCGTTACCTTCTACAATAGAACCAGAAACATCACCAACCATGTGGAAGTGAATAGGATATCTACCAATAATAGCTGGTTGACCTGTGTGTCTAAACTCAGCAAATCTAATATGAGCACTTGTTTAGGAGCCATGAAGCATCATATGAGCACCATATTGAGTTTTCACAGAACTATCATCACCTTCAAAAACTACGTTACGAGTAAGTAGACCTACTTCTGCTCTCATATTAACTTTGAAATTTCCATTAGCATATTATTCATTTTCAACACTAACATGCTAAATAAGAAGAGGTTCATAGAAACTTATAGTTGCAGTAAGTCCATCAGCATTTTTAACAACATTGGTAATTACACGACGTTCAGCATGACCTGCTGAATAATCAGTTGGGGCAATTACTATTTCTTCACCTTGCTTCCAATCGAAGCCAGGATCTTTAAGGAATACTTTAATACTAGTATCACCAATTTTTGCTGTTGATGAGAGTTCAGTCCATGTAACTGGACGTGGTTAACCATTAATTTCTATGCTACCATTATAGATAGAAAGACCCTTGTTACCAACAGTAGGGAATTAAGTATCAACAATATTACCATATAATGTGATTCTTATATTTCCTGTAACAGGAGAACTTTAAGTACCAATTATTACATTACCATTTTAAACTAAAATATTATGAGCTTGTAAGTGAATATTTTTATCATTGGCGAAAATCAGGTTAGCTTAGGAAACAACTATAGTATTCAAGACACCAATAGCAGGCACATTTGGAACATCAACAATAATGCTCTTTCCTTTTGCAACATAAACAAGATCACCATCAATAGGAGCAAAATCACCACCCCAAGTATTTTTATCTGACCATAGATAACCGTAATAGAACACAATTCCATTATTTACTGCATTATATGAATTTACTTAAACTACTAAAGAGGGACTTGCTGAACCTGTTTTTGCTCCAGTAGTACAAGCGATTTGTTTTGTAGATATAGTGGGATTGCTGCATACAACTCCGTCAATTATAACTTAAGCAGTAGATCCACCACTAGGAGCTTAGTCAAGAGTAATAGTAACTTAAGTACCTCCACTAATACTACCATAATTAGGTGATAGACTTTAGATAACAAAAGTCTTTGATTAATCATAAATAACATTGTTATTTGAGTTAACAGCAGGAGAACCATTAACTTGAACTGAAACTGGGCAGGACAAAGTATTACCACTTTCAGTTTAAGTACCTTATTTCCAACCAAAAAGTTAAATCTCAACAAGTTAGCATTGAGATTTACCAGTAGAATCAAGTAATCTAAATTATGAGTATGCACCTAACAATATAGCTGATTAGGATGGAGAAGTAGAGACCAATGAACTAATTAAGTACATATTTTTACCTAAATGGAAATCACTTCCGATTGTAAGTAAAGTTTACCATGTGGTACCATCAATTGAGGCTTAGAATTATGTTCCAAAGAATGCAGAGGCATCAGTAACTCCTTATGTTCTGGGATATATTTAGAATTTACTTAAAACAACTTAGGTTGAGCTTCCAAAATTGAAACCACAATAACATTAAGCTGAATTAGAGCTGGAATAGTAAAAAAGTAAATCGCCGTCATTTAAGTAATTTGAATTTCCATTTGCATCATCACCAAAAGTAGTGAAACCAGTTAAAGGATTGATATCATCAGATTGGAAATTATAATTATTTCTTGAAAAACTTGTGTAAGCAGGAGGTGTAGATACAGTTAAAGTAGAGGATGTTGCACTCACTACATTAGCTTAATTACCACAAATTGTCACAACATTTTAGTTGATATTTTGTGTATTAAAACCTGAACCATTAATAATTATTTATGAACCACCTGCATAAGATGAAGTAACTACAGATGAAGTTAGACCTGAAAGTGCAAGTACAACTTAATTATTTGAGATAGTTGGGTAGTTATTAGAGGAATCAAGCAAGTATAATTGGTAAGTACCAGCAGGAGCATTTGCAAATGTAATAACAGCGTTAGTGCTTGATTAAACATTTAAGTTTGTAGATTAAATTTATGTAGAATAACCTGATTGCTATAGGTAAGCTACTTTTAAGTTATTAAGTCCACTACCAATAAGAGTAACTGTATTTCCACTTACTGATAAGCTCTAAACAGACCAAGTAGCTGCAACTACAGTAAAAGTTTTGCTGTGAGCATTCCATGGTAAATTTCCATTATTGTCTAATGGTACTAAAGCGCTCCTTACAGAAAATAATTAAACATTAGATCCAACTGAAGTAGCAGGAAGTCTAATTACTACTTAGCCAGTAGAATTGTTATAAGAAATAAGGGTGGCTAAAACTCCATTAAATTTGAAGAGAGGATTCTAGTTAGGTAAGGTACCTGACATTGTTAGAGTAATCTCTGCACCTGCAGCAGAAACTGTGTAGAGAGAAGGATTAGATAGGGCATATGTATATTCAATTAAAGAGATTTATACATAAGGGCTATCACCATTAGACCCACGAAGAGTAACATTATAGTTGCCATAAGATAAATTAGGAACTATGTAAGTTACTGCAGTTGAGTTATTTGAAACAATTGTTACTGGAACACTTTCTTAACCTAAAAATACAACTGAATATGCTCCAGAAGCTGTTGGAAGATTATTACCAAGGATAGTATATTATGAATTGAATATTTAATTGTTGTTGTTAACAGAACTTACTGATAAAGCTAAACTTTAATCAAAAGTAATTTGATTATTGAAAGGAGAATCTGGGTTAATTATTGCTTAAACAATTAACTTACCCCAAACTTCAACACTATAAGCTTATGATGTAACTCCTGGTGGGAAGTGAGATACCATGTTAGGAAGAGTACAAGTTAATTGAGTAGAAGTAGCAGCAGTTATAATACAAAATTCAGACATATTTGATGTATAAACTACTAAAACCTAGTTGTCGTTTAAAGCAGAAGTTAGGAAATTCTAACCTTAGATGACTAATTAAGCACCACCGTATGCAGAAACTTTACTCACACTGTAGGAGTTTACTATTATGTTGTATTATATTTTAGTAACAGATGGAGCTGGAATATTGCTACCTAATCCAATCTAGACAATTCTCAATTAGTAAAAGCCAGGTAGACCTCCACCCAAGAGTACTTATGCTGAATTGCTATTTGCAGTAACTACATTAACATTGTACTTAGCATATTATAGCAATTTACCATCTTTATCAACAGAATCTAAATAAGCAGTTAATAAAGTTGGATCACTACCAAAATTAGTACCTGTGACAGTAATGAGAGTCTTATCTACAGGGGAAACTATAGTCTTGTCAATATTAGTGATAGTAATAGCACCGCTATCATTTACTTATATACTTTTAGCATTGCTTGATAGTCCATTATAATTTACAATAACAGAATTAGAACCTTAAGAAAGACCTGCAGGTGTTATTACAACAATTTAAGTATTCGAAACAGATTATATTTATGCATTAACAGATCCAATAGCAACTGATAGGCTGCTATCATTAGATTATGGGAAGAATTAGCCAGTAATAGTTAAAGTAGTTCCACCAAAGCTATAGACAGTTGTGGAGCTTAATTATGTAATAACAGGATAAGTAGATTATGGAGAAACGTTAGCTGAAAGAGCTATACCATTAGATTAATAAAATACTACTGGTTTATAAGTACCTGCAACCTTATATGGATATTGAGCAGTTAAAGTACCAGAAAATGGATCAGAACTAGTTACAATACATGGTACTCCATTATAATATACATCAAAATTACTAACTAAAGGAGTGAATCCTTAAACAGTAACTCCTGAGATTGTAAGGGTATTAACATTGTCATCAGTGAAACTAGTGTAACTAATTGCTTAGGAATCATTAAGAACATTAACTATGAGTTATTAATTTGTTAAAGATGCAAGAGTCAAAACTCCATTTACAAAAATGTTAGCATAAGGTTTTGTGGAACGTTGAGTTAACAATTCAGTTTCGATGGCTGCATACTATAAGTATGATGAAGAAGCATCTCTAAGAGATTCAACAACTAAAGTAATAGTTCCAGATTAACCATTAAGCTTGGATTCAGCTTAAACAGCTTCAATCAATACAGGAGAAGCAATTCCGTAAAAATCAAAAGTCCATTAAGAACCATCTACAAAATTTACAATACGAGAACATTGAATATTTGTAGTGTTCAATGTCTATTATAATGCCGAGCAGAGATCCCATTCCCAAGTGTTAAAGGGGATATCAGGGTTTTTATTAAGTTAAACATAATTACCATTAGCTTTCAAACGGAAAGTTCCAGACAATGGTGGGCCAGCAGGAGTTATAACTGTATAAACAGGTTTAGTGGACAAAGTAGAATTAAAGTTGAATGTTGGCTATACGTCATAATTACGATGATATTAGAAAGTAAGTTCCCAGGTAGAACCAATTTTATTTTTGTTAGAATCTAATATATCTTATTAAATACAAGTGCTATTATCTCCAGCGTAGTTGTTGAAATGCCAAACAATTTATGCACATGTGGTGTCTCTATTATACTATTGAGATGTAAATACCCATTATTTTGCGTTTGTCTTTAATTGAGTTCCGAAAGGATAAACAAAATTGATTCCAAATGTACCCTTGTTTGAAGAACTCAAGTCTTAGAATGAGATACTAGCTACTTCTTTTGTGAATGCGTAGTTAATTTTAAATCTAGTAACTTAATTAACTGAATTGACATAAACGTTATTAGGATTGTTGGGATTTTAAGCTACTGGAATTCTAACACCAGTACTGTGGTAGAAACTACTAGAACTTGAAGCTAGAGCATAAATTTTAAAATAGTAAGGTTAACCCTATTTTAAAGAGATAGTTATGCTATCTGAAGTAGATTATTGTAAGTCATATTGTGATGAGTAAGGATTTCTAAGATTAGTTCCTTAAGAAATACTGTTAATAACTGTCATTGTTGATTCATTTGTGCTATCTCCACTCATTTAAAGCAAAACTTATGCTTAATAGCTTGAAGAGGTATGGAAATAGTAGTTTCCATCTCTAGGAGGATTAAAATAACCCTATAGGACAATGAATTATCTATTAAGACCATCTTAATTTGAATCTTAATCATAGTAATATTCTGTGGATGGAATAATTGAGTCTTAAACTAAGGTCAATTAGGTAGGATTAGTTTTATATTAGTTAATTAATCCATTTAAATCCCATGATGAAGTGTTGTAAGCTTAAAGATGAACACCAGAACCAGATACATAACGAAGGGTAGAATCAACAGTTGGGTTAGATAAACCAGCAGGTAAAGTACAAGTGAAATAGTTTTAATCAGTATTAATTTCATTAATAGTGCAGTTAGCATTATTCCAAGTAACTTATACATTTTATCCGTTTGAAGGAATATTAGAGGCATAGACGGTTAATTAACCACCTTAAGAAGTAATACTTTGAGCTGTTCCTGAACCTTATTATTGGGAAACAACTTGGATGTCGTAAGGAGTATCCAAAGTAGTAGAACGTACAGTAGTTAAATGACTCTAATTTGATGCTTAACCAGGAGTAGAAACAAATTGAGAAAGATAGAAACCAGCTGGGTGAGAATAATCAATTTCACATGAAAGAGGGGTGTATGCGTTTCCATTAAAGGGCGTGTCTTCATTCAAACCTAAATCGAATCTATCACAAAGAAGATTACCAACAAGCATCTTGCTAATTTAGTTAGTGTTACTAATTCTGAAGGTACCCCACCATTCAAAATCTACTTTTGGAAGTACAGCACGAGGGAAGATAATGTCAACCATAGGAGTGTAGGATCCAGAATAAGAGAAAGTACATAAAGAAGGATTTGCTTGAGCGCATTGAGAAGCACTTCTATTAACAACATTAACTACAACTGGAAGATTCCATTGTTAAGTGCTATCATAAGCAGGTGTAGTTATGCAAGTAACAAAAACTTCATTAACACCCATATCTAATTTATTATAATAATAATAATTTTTAAACATGTTTTCAATATTCCAAATAAAAATTTCAACTATGAAGTAATTTGATAATTATATTTTGTATTATTTTTGATTAAAAAATAAATATAATTAAGTAAAATATTATTAAAATGCATTTCTACTAATGTATGATGCAATTTTAAAATAATAAAGATAAATATCATTTTTTTACCTGGAATAAGACAAGGATAAGGACCAATAGTTACTTAATTGTTTGAAGCCATACTAGCATCTTGACCAACCATTTTAATATAGACTCTAGTACCACCATTGAGAGAACCAAGTCTTTAAGCGTTATCAGAATCAAGAATAGTTGAAACTGACAAAATTCTTACTGAATTTTAAGCAGCACCAATTTCAACTGCACTGCCTTTTAGTTATTAGTAGAAGAAGGTTTAGTTAAATATGGAGAATATGTACTTAATTATTATAAATTTAAATTAAAATTATTAGATTACTTTGAGCTATCAGCAGACAGAGAAGAAGCCAGGTAATATGTTTGGCTCTCATTTAATGTTTTGAGTTTTTAATGTAATTATCTAATGTAAAAAGATAAATAGGGAGTTATTTAGTTAGTTAGTTAGTTTATCTTCTTTTTTCTGAAGGTCTTATTTTGTTGAGTTTTTCTATTTTTATTTTAATTTATTTAATTATCGTCTTTTTCCTAATTGACTGATGCATTTAAATCTAAAATTCACTTTTTATTAAAGAAAATAAACTCTTTTCTATCTCTGTATATTACTATATGATAGTGAGCAGATCAGTGTAATCAAAAGCAACTTTCTTCTTTAAATTAATCTAAAACTGTATCATTCACCCATCACTTCAAATTTTATATTATGTAACATTCATATGCCAGATAATAAGATTCTGGCTTTTTAAATAAAAAATAAAAGGGGAAGTGAACCAACATCTTTTTAATTAAATCCCCACAAAAAATAAAGTTTTTACAAAAATAAGAGTTTTTACATTAGTATTCATATGCCATTCATGAGTTTCTACATAATTAATAATTACTTTCCGATTTCTTCAGGATCTTTAATATGAGGTACTGGACTATCAAAAAAGATTGTGAATATAAAAATCCTATTAGATTGTTGTGAAATTTATATTAACAAATCAGGTTAATAAAAAAGTAAATAATATTGGCAAAATTTGTAACCAAACTATAATTTTTAGCCTATGCTGTTCCATCTAGATAGTTTTACATCAAGTATTATAAAATAAGATTTTTGTTGTGGACTTAATTATTTGTGATTATGAATGTATTTTTAAAATAAAAATAGTGGTATAAAATGAAATATCTTTAATAATTTTTATCCATAAATACCATTTATTAATCATTATTAATTTTTATCTTTTCTAGATGTAAAGTCCTCATATTCCATTAAAAAAGTAATTACATTTAAATAAAAATAGGTAAACAGTGTTTTTCTCTAACTTGCTAATTTATTAAATTGATCAGCTTAGTAGAAAAAGCTTAAATTTTTATGATATAATCAATAGCTATGAACTTTACTATCTAAATTTATAGTTTAAAAAGTTAAATCTGTCAAATCTATAAGATTTCTGACTGAAAAATTAATTCCAAAAAAAATATCATACATAAAAATAAAGAGTTGTTTTTGAGTTTGCTTTTATACTTTTTTCTAATTAAAATACATACATTTAAAGCAAAGTAAATTATTTACCTGAAAATTTAATATTCATTTGTATCATAATTAAAATTACCACTTTTTCAATATCTTTTGCCGCACCTAAATTTTTTTAAAACTAACTATCATTCACGCTTCTTCTTAACTCTTTATCTAACACTTTCAATTTGTTTGAATAATTATTAATTTTTTTTAATGATCAAGATTCATGTTCAATTTAGAAAAACTTGTTTACAATCAATTCTTAAACCATAATTTTAAAATTTTTATACAAGCAATTTAAAATGATTTTTTTTGTTTATGAGATATATAGAGTAATAAAGGCTATTATTCAACAAAGTAAAGGCATATTAAAAATTATTGTGCTTAAAATCTATAAAAAATTATATATTTTATCAAAATAAACTTGATGGAAATTAACATATTTTTTAATTGAAATAAAATATAAAAGGATTAAAAAAGATATTATTTAAATATGGTCAAAATAAAAGTCAAAGCAATCTATATAAAAAAAATAAAGTAAAAATATATTCATATTTAAATATTAAATTTTCTCATATATTCACTTCAACTAAAATATGAAAAAAAATAAGGCCTAATTTAATATTGATAGGAAATTAGGAATATGGTTAACTGAACCACAAATTTTTCAAAATATAAATTAATATTAATTAGTTAGAATTTAATTAATTAGAAATCATATGGATAAAATTTATGGATAATTTTAATACTTTATAGATAGATAGATATTTACATTTCTAATTAAAAAGTTGGTCATTTTTATATCTAAGTATTTATTCTTACAACACTCAAATCTATGATTTTTGTAAATCTGCTTTCCTTATTAAATTAGATAAATATTTATTTATTAACTTAATAAACATAAAATTTTTCTAACAAAGTTTTAAATTATCCCAATTAATGTTTATTTACTTAAAATTTTTATTACTTTTATTTATCAATATTAATTGATAATAAAATTAGCAAATTTTTTTTTGTGAATAAAATAATTTTCCTGATTTTAATGTTTATATTTTTAAATTTTTAAACTATAATTTAAAAAAAATTGATTTGAAATAATATATTTCTTTATTTTTTTTATATTTACAGTGTTAAAATAAAATTTATTGAAGCATTAATATATTAATAGTGGCTGAAAAATATAAATAAAATATCCTAAGATTTTTATCAATACATAGAAACTAAAAAATATTTGTCATATGGCAAAATAGTTTAATTTAATTCATTATTTTATTTAAAAAGGATTTTTCCTCACTTTTTATAAATGGGGTATATTCATTTTTTTGTTTTCTAAGAGCTTTTATAATACACAAATTTACTTTAAATATGATTTAAGATTAAAAAAAATTGTTTGCTTAATTTACCATAAAATAAATTATTGTAAGTGATTTTAATAAATGATAAAAAGAAAATATAATTTACATATTTGTATCTACTAACAATTTCACAATATTTAAATAATTGCATTTGATTTTCTTCTTTATATGTAATATAATAAACTTCAAATACTCATTTAGAAAATATTTTAAATGAGAAAAATAATAAATTTATGTTATTTTCAATAAAATTGTCACATTTTAAGTTAGCCAAAATGTATTTAATAGTGCATAAAGTTACTTTAAAATCAAAATAAAAGCTTTTTTCTCATATTTAGATAAAAAAGTGCATTCTTACTACTGATTCAATAAATTATATAATTCTACTTTTAAAACAATTCAATATAATAAATAATTTGAACTTCTAGCAATTAAAGTTTTTATTTCTAAATATTATTTAAATAATAAAATATTAATTCATAAAATACATATTAACAAAAGTGGTAATCTTTTTGGTTCTAAATGATAATAATAATAGACTTGAACTATTTTATAACCTTTAATTTTACTTTACTATTTTTACCAAAAATTTTATTTGTGTCTTCATATGCACACAGACTTGAGTGAGCAAAAATATTTGATTATAGATAATAAAGAAATATTAAATGTAATTATTTTCAGATTTTAGTAATCATCTCTAAACCAGTAAATATTTACTCATAATGAATTTTCAAAACTGGCTAAAATTTAATTGATAAAATGCATGGTTAAAAACAACTAACATTAAATTATAATGAAAACAAATAATAAGCTTGAAATTAATATATTCTTTTTTCACTTGAGGTTGTTTTTGTAACTTGGCTTTATATATAGAATACCTATATTCTTCATTAATTCCTACCTAGCCAACTAAGAAATGAGATTCTATTAATCTTTCTTAGGGGTCTATAAATTATTACTAAATTATAGAAACATAGGTATTAATATAAGAGGATTCACATTTTTTATTGTTTGGTTTAAGCAAATATTTATGAAACAAATAGTTTGATAATAATAATGTACTATTGTTATTTAGGTATATAGCTATTTATTTTTTAAAAAATAATATTTAATATTTATTTTGTGAAATAAAAAAATGAATAAATAAAATTTTATATTAGTTTTGAGATAGTATTTTATATAAAATAACACATCATAATTATTGCTTTGTTGAAAAAAATAAAATAAAAATTTCTTTATATAATATAATAATAAATATTCAGATTCAAAATGATTGAGATAAATCATTTATTTATATTAAGGAATTCATCTCTCATGATTTAATTTTTCATTGTACTAGCTAATAGATTAAAATATTTAAACAAAAATAAATAACATTCATATCACAAAAAATTTAAAAAAGTTAAACTCGAGCACATATAAAATTATGAAATATATATTTTTTTAAATTTAGAAAACTAGAAGCATGAAAGATAAATAAATATTAATCTTTAATTGTTTTCAAAAATTAGCCAAATTAAAAATTCTTTCTTTTTTAATTAAATAAACAATATTTTAAGATGACTCAAGTTTGTGATTATTTATTAAATCCCTAGTTTGATTTAGTTTTTCCCACCGTTTTCTCATGAAAATAAAGGAAAATAATTAATTTCCACGTAATTACAAATAATTTCATTATTTAGCATCATAGTCTTTTCATAGCAAATAATTATTTGATCACTTGATTATTTATTTGATAATTTTATTCAGGTATGTTATTTAAGATTAATTTCTAAATTTTTAATTCAAGCAAATATCTACTTGTTCTTTTATTCAAGCAAATATTCACTTGAACCTAAAAATTATGATAAATCCAACATGTAAAATTTATAGAGTTTTCTAAATTACAGAAAATGAATATTTACCTAATTTTAACAAGAATCTTACAAATTACTTAGTAAATAAACTGATTATTTGTAATTTAGATTCTTTTAACTAAATATTTTTTATCGAATTTGTGGAATTTAATATTTAATTTTTCATCCTAATAATATAGAGTGTGCTTATATCAATTTTAAGTACGATTGTTTTAAATTTAATTATATTTTGGATATTTAAAATAATTTCTTTTGAAATAGCTTTTTTAACACAATAAGATTGAGAATATAAATTTTAATATACAGCATATTTAAATAAGGACAATACTTTTTTAATTTTACAAAATTACATAAAAGTATATTATGGAAAGATAGTACAGCTTTTTTCTGTTTTTTTAAAAAATTGATTCAGTAATAATAAATAATTAATTTTTTACAAAAAAGAAGATGTAAGGTTTGAGAAGGTTTAACTAATTAACTATATGAGAAAAAACTTTTTTTCTTGATTTACAAAATTACTATTTTATTAAATACCTTATGAATTTTGTATATTTTTTGTAAAATATTTATTATCATTTTTATATATTCAATTTCTTTAAATTGTATTCTAGTTTAATTGATGTTTATCGCACAAACTTAACTTTATCTAGTTTTATTCATTAACATTAACTAAATTATTTTGATTTTTGTTTAAAATGTAATATATATATCTTATTTTATCATATATTTTTTTTTATGTGTATATTATCCAAAAAATTACTAATTTTTTTCTTAATTATCTTTTATATCTTTGTATTTTTTTTTAGTTTTTTCAGAAAATTATATTTAAATTTTGTAAATTAAAGAAATATTGAACAATATATTGTTGAGTGTTTATATAGTTAAGATAGTGTACTTAAAAATATTTTTGACAAAAATAAATTAAAAAATTTAGTTTAAAATGATATTTACTTCATCTTTAAGTATCAAAAAACAAAATATCATGTCAAAAATTATTTTTTATTAAAAAAGCGAAATTTTTTTATTTTTAAAAGAATAATCAAATTATTAGCCCAGTTTGATATAAGAAATTTATCATAGTATTATGAGAAATAAAGTTAAAATAATTTATGAATTTAAAAAAGAAAATGATGGTCGCAAAAAGCTTTGCAAAATGCATTATTAAATTTATAATAAATGAATGGTGATTTTTTTGTTGTTTAAAAAGGGAATATAATAAATCTTTTTAGTTCGTTTTTGTTATTTTTTGTATTAGAAATTTCAAAGCCTAACTAGTTTTTGGATGGAGAATGCTTAATTATTAGAAAGAAGCGCATATAAATGAAAATAAACCATAATTTTCACTCTAACATAAAAAATCTTACTCTCTAATAGGGAGAGGAAAGACGCTAGACACTTTCAACTAAAGAGTCTTCATTAAAATAGAGAAAGACTACCTCAATTCTATTGAAGAAATGAAATATTTAAAAGAAAATACGATCATTAAAGTAGATTTAGATTAAATGCCAATTTAAAAAATTTACTAAGAACTAGATTAAAGTATTCCAAGTTTAACATAAAAATAGTTTAATTCAAGTTAATCAGGATAGAAATAAAGTAATACCACCACAAAAAACTCGTTAGATATTCCTGATTTACTTTAAAGGACTCTTCCAATTCGCTAAAAAAGATGCAAAACAATTGGAAATTCACCAAATAATAAAAATCAAGATATGTCATCGTAATTTAGGTAAATGTATCATAACTTCAATAATTATGAGTACAAATAATAAAAGAAATAGTCTAGCAAAGTAGAAAAATGCGATAAATAAAAGAAAAAGCTTGATAAAAATACCACCAATGCAAGCGAATCAGAAAATTAAGAATTTTTAAAAGAAAACCTGATTTAAGCTTAGCAAAAAGATGAAATAAATAGCAGATAATCTATGACTCCTATTTAACCTGCAAGGGTTTTTGTAACAGATAAAGGAAAATTGATAAATGATAGATTTGATATCCCTACTTATAAGCCAGTGAGCTTTGCTGAAAGCATTAAGAAGTAAAATGCTGATTTAAGTTTAATAGATTACTTTTAAACAGGGAAAGATAAAATAATTGAACATTTAGACTACAAAGATATAACAGATAATAATATAACTAATTTCAACAATAACAATAAATTATACATCTAAAATCTAATAGATAAGCATTAGAAACATATGAAACCTCAATGCTGCTCAAAGGGAGAATAAGTCAGAGCAGATTCAGCTCTAAAAAATTATAGAAATTAATTAGATGAAGAAATAGATAAATTCTACAAAAATCTTGAGTAAAAGTCTTTAACTCCTTCAATAAAATACCAAAAACCTATTAAAAAATAAGTACCGTATAAGGATGGTTTAATTGATGAATACTTTTTTAAAGATGAAAATAATCAACATTATAATGACTAAGATTTGAATTACTAAAATAAGTCTAATCAAAATAATGATAAAGGAGCAGGTTTTTTTAAGAAATACATTTAAGATGTAGACCTAGAAAAATATAAAGAGCTTCCATTGTGGGTCAAAGTTGCAACTGAAAAATAAGACTTCTTTCCTAAAATACAATCACCAAGCAAAGTAAGTTAATACATTCAAAATGGAGTACTCCCTATGAAATCAGTCTTGGAAAAATCCGAATTTAATATACATTAAAAAAAGAAAAAATACATAAGAAAAATAGAAAAAATAGTGACTGAATGTGATGATTATAAGCAAAGTAATTATTGATTAAAATAATAATTAGATTATTTTTTTATTACTCAATAAAACAAATTTATTTTAAACCTACTAAAAAAACTAAAAAAGTATATTAATTTTGAATTATATTATAAAATTAATTTGCTTTATTTCTGTTTTTATCTCATAAAATTAATCTGAAAATAAAAAAAATTTAAGATAAATTTAATTATTTTTCTATATTTATCAGGAAAAAAATATTTTTAAACATAAATTGATTTATTTTTATTTAATTTAAATTGATATTTATCATTCAAGTTATTATTTAATTAAAATGGTTAAATATTTATAAGATTTGATATCAATTTGCTTCATATCAAATTTTATCAAATGAAAAATTATTAAAGAATAAATTAAAATATACTTTTTTAAAGTAAAAAATATTTAAATTAACATTTTTTCAAAAAAATTAATGATAATTATATTTGATGAATTATTTTGTTTAAACCTTAATTTAAATTATCAAAAATACTGAAACTCAAAATTTTAAAATATACATCTTAAAAATTATATAATAAGCATTGAAAGTAGATTTAACCTTAATTAATATAAAAGAAATTTATACATTATAATCTATAAAAAATTAAATTTATGATTATTTTTTATTTATTATTTCTTTAAACTGTAATTTAAAATATCCAGAGTCACGACATAATTAAATAATTTTCTTCATAAAAAACATTTTTATATTTTGTAAAAAGTTGAAACCTAAAAATTGTATAAAAAGCATTAAAAGTAAATTGACCCTTACTTAATATGAATTAAATTAATAAGTGAAATCTATATAGGTTCATGAATATCAATTTCTTTCTTGTAATAATAAAATACTTTATCAAAGATTTTATACATATTTTTAATATTTTTTCATATTCCTTATTTAAGTTTGTAGATGTTCTTAGAATTTTTCTTTTCTTGATAACACAACTCATCTAGCATTGATTTAAAAGTTTTTTCTGGCTAATTAATATAAAATTTAAAAATAATTAGTGTAAAACAGCTAAGTATTTGAAACATACCCTGATGTTAATTTCTGCTTATATACATGCATAAGTAGTATCTACATTATTACTTTCTAATTATTTGATCTTTGATATTAACTATTTCTTAACCCATTATTCGTTATTATTTGTTACATAAATATCTTCTTTAGATTAAACTGGCTTATTTTTTTCATCATCAGTTTGATTTTCAGGCTTTGGTGGTAAAATATCTTCTTAAGTATAAACACGTGGTATAATAACACTTTGATTATCATAACCAGTCTCATCAAAACCTTTTTTCTCAGTTTCTTTCATTATTACTTTAATACATCCTATTTATATATTTTGTAAATCTATTTTTATTATTATTTATTGACTTAATATTTTACCTCTCTCTAGTTTTTTCATAGATTTTAATTAGCATACGCTTTTAAATTCAACAATTTACTAAACATTTTCTTCTTATGCTTCTTTTACTTCTTTTACTTCCTTTACTTCTTTTGATGCAATTAATATTGGATAATTTGGAGACACTTCGTCATTCTCCAATTTAATTTAAATAATTATTTTTTCTTTATCACCTTCTTAATCTCTAATTTCTAAATACTTTGCAACTTCTACCTATAACAATGAAATTTAATTGATTTATTTGCAATTATTATTTTCATATTTATACTTTTCTTTTTTGTCCCACACTTCTTTCCTGAGGTATTTCTCTCTCAGTAATATATAATCTTAAATGTGGATTCTTCTCTAGATAAACTTTGAGGAACTTTATTTCATTGTAATCTCCCTAAATTAATATGATTAATTATTGCTTCTTTTAAAAATTGATAAGCTTGCTAATTTATTACCTTTATTCCACATGAAATTGTATCTTTAAAATAAGATGATTGGTTCAAATAATTGTCTTCCATAACTAAAAATATCTTAATAAATAATTTATTATTGCAAAATTTAATTAATAAAATTTTATCAAACTTAGATTTTATTTATTATCGTATATTTAAAATAATAACTTTTATTATGATAGACATCACATTATATAGGTATTTGCTGAAACAAATACATTACTGAATTCGATAATTTAGTTATTAAGAATATTTTTTAAAAGTAGAAATTGTTTTGAAATGAAATTTTTCATTAAATATAATTTATGATTAAAGATAAACTAATAAGATAAACCAAAATTTTTTAAACATCAATGTTTAGCAGAATATTTCTAATTTGAATAAAAGTATATATCATAATATAAATTAGAATATATTCTGTGATTTCACTAAATAAACAATTATAATATTATTAATGCTTGTTTAAAATTTCACTATTTAAATTAAAACCAAAATGCTAAAAAAAATTAAGAAATAGATGAGTTTTAATTAGAGGTCCTACAGTAAATTAAAATGCTTTAAGATTTTAATATTAAATGAACTTTTTTTTTCAAATTTTAGAATATATTCAAAGATTCTTAGTTCCTTTGACAACAAATTCTTATTCATTTTAATACTTGTTGTTATTTTTTATATATTTGGTTCTTTATCTTTTGTTTCAGTTATTTTTGAGAATTTTTAGTTAATTTATTTATTTAGTTTTATAATTTTATGTGATATAAAATATTTTTATTGTAAACTCCTTTTTTTATTTTTTTAATATTACTTTTTTTGTTTTTGTAATTATTATTAAGAAACTTACAAATTATAATAATATTAATCTCAAATGATGTAATTTTTTTATTTACTTATAGGGCACTATTTTGAAGGACTCTACATACTTTATAGCCACTTACAAAAAAATAATTATAAAGTTAATTTTCTTTTTAATTAATGTTATTTTACTAGATTTGCTTAATTTTACCCAACACTATGATAAAAATCAAATTTTATTTTAAATTAAATCTTAATATTTGAGAATAATTTTTTTTAATATTTAGAGTTAGCAAGGTTTTATCAATTTAAAATACAAAGAAATTTTTCTTAAGTGCAAAATATAATAAGTAGTAAAATTTTTATTAATTTTACCATATTATAAATCATTTGATATAAAGTTATTGTCTATGCTAAACTTAAAAATCACATAATTAAATAAGTTAAAAGATGATAAAAATTTATTTTTAAAGTAAATGGAGAGTATAAAGTTGAAAATACTTTGTAATTAAAAAACATATGATCATGAAAATTTATTAAAATTTTAGAAAAATAAAGAAAAACCAGCTAAACAATATTTTTATGAAACACGTAGTAATACTTATCTATATTAGCTGACTGACATTAAATTTTATTATTATGTCATATTTAATTTAGATTATATACGTATTAAATAGTTTATCACCCAAAAAACACTTAGTTCAAAGTTTTATCAATATCAAAATCAATTTTTGGCGAAAAATAAATATTCAATAAATAAATAAATTTCTCAAAAAAGATTACCTATTAAAATAAAAAAAAGAGTTTAGAAGAAAAGAAATAAAAATGTCAGAATAAAGCTAAAATCAGTATCATCATTTAATTGATGATTAGTGTCAATTAATGTAATAAAAATTAGGAGCATTTTATTTATATATTAGAAGAAAATTCTTAAGCATATTAAAAATCAATATCTTATTTTTTATATAAATTAGACCTGGCTTGACAAACTTTATTAGATAGAGCGGATTAGGCCAATCTCATAACAGTTATAATATTGTTTCAATTATAGGTTCATAAAATTCTGGTAAATCAACTTTGTTGAATAGAGTTTTTGGAACAAATTTCCAAATGCTCTCCGGATCAAGCAGAACATAAACTACTAAAGGTATTTGGGTTTCTAGAGATAAGGAATAAAACATCTTAATTCTTGATGTTGAAGGTTCAAACAGTCGTCAAAGAGGAAAGGCTGAGAAGGGCTCTGAGGTAAATTATCTTTTTTTTATTTATTGAAATGATTTATTAATATTTTTTTCTATTTAGTTCTATGAAAGATCAACAGCTCTTTTTGCATTAGCTTTCTCTTAAATTCTTATTATAAACTGCAATTCATTGGTAAATAACTACTAATTTTATTATGCACAACAATAATTTTTTATCTACCGAACAGAATTTAGGACACGAATCAGAATATAGCATCATAAAAATTATTATGGAAATGAACATAAGACTTTTTAGATCAGATTAAGTGAAGCAAATGCTCATCATTATTAGAGATTTTAATGATGAGGTTGATAACTTTAAAGAAGTCACAGAATCCATTAGAAATGAAATATATGGAATTTGGGGTGAAATTCAAAAACCTCCTGAGTTTGCCAATGTCCAACCTGAATAAATCTTTAAAATCGATTTCTTCACATCTTCTCACTTCTAATATTAAAGACAAAAGTAAATATTTGCTTAAATTTTAAAAAGACTATTTTTTATTTATTCTACTACTGCTTTTGCTAGAATTTAATATTTTAATCTTAATAATAAACAGATTTGAATCAGATATGGTTTAATTAAGAGACAGATTTATTAATCCTGGTAACCCTTTCAATCTCTTTAAGGGTTATAACTATAATACAAACATCCCTATTGAAGCTTTGGAAGATTTGGCAACTACCCTTTGGGACACAATTCAGAAAAATGAAGATCTTAACTTACCTAACTAAAAGCTTTAAGCATCACAAGTTAGATGTTTAAAAATAAAGGATTAAGCAATCGATTTGATAAATTAAGATTTATAAAAATTAAAGTAAGATGCTGAAAGCAATTATTTAACTAATTTCAATGAAAGAGCATAGAACATAGTCACTCGTAGTCTCCATCACTATGACACTGAATCATAATATTATGTAGAAAAAATAAAACTTGAAATGAGAAAAGTACTAAATGATGAATTAAAAACTGCTTTATATCCTATTTTTAATTAATAAATTACCTCTCTTCAGTAAAATATTAAAAATGAACTCAAAAATAATTTAGATGCTCTTGATTCTAGAAACAGTAACTTACTTTTAATCAAAAAAACATAATATAATAAATCATTTTTTTTATTTACATAAAAGCTTCATTTATTAAGTATATGGATGATTTAAGCTTCATTAGGTAGTAGATTAAGCAAGTTATCCTTTAAGGATTACATTAATCCCTTCCATTTAATGAGTATAAGGTTGATTGGGAGATAACAAAGATTGATAGCCAACTCTCTAAGGTTCTTGAAGAAATTATTAACAATGCAAGAGAAATATAATTTGTTAAATATATCAATTCTTAAGAAAAGACTATTAAAAATAGCATCGATAATTTGATAAGCAATTGCTTTGATACTTTAGACTTAGAATTCTGGACAACTATAAGATCAGGTTTTAATCAAATCTTAAAAGAAAATGAAACTAGAATCAGAGATTAGATCTCTTAATTCTTTGATCATAGCAGAGTTGACAAGGAAATGAACAATATTATTCATTAATCCCATTAATTCCTTTAGGATGATATCTAAAAGAAAATAAGAGAGCTTTCATATTATCTATTGAAAAGGTAAAATAATCTCTTAATTTAACCTTAAATTAAATACAAAGTTTGTATTTGAAATTAAATTTTATTTTTTATTTGACTAAAAATAGATTCAAGAGAACCTTCTTAAAGGATGAAAAAGGTTTAACCAGAAAATGGAAGGAATTAGAAGAACCAGTTATTTAGCAATTATTCTTAGACTCTAGAAAGAGCATAGAAGATATTCTTTAGGAATTCACAAGATTTAAAGTCAGTCCACCTTAATCTCATTAATTCAGCGCTCGTATGAGCAATATGTTCTCTTCTGAAATTGTTGGAAGAGCATGTAAAAAATTTTTTTGATGATATTCTTTTTATTAAAATTTTTAATTTTAAATATTTTTAAATAGAAATGAATGATGAAGTGCGTTAAGCTAAGTAAAGCTTAGATTTCTCAAGTGAAGATTTCTCTGTTTTGTTAGATACTTCTTAAATTAATAAAATTAAGTAATAATTCATAGATGAATCAGAAGAAGAATACAATCAAGTTCTTAGATAAAGAGTAATTCTTTTAAATAATATTTCAATTAATTTATAAATTTACTTATAAAATAGAATACATCTTTCAATACTAATGTACCTAAGTGGATGTGGGTAGTTTTGGTATTTTTCATGTATGATGATGTCCTTAGATGGATGGCTAACCCTTTGTTATTATATCCAATTATTTTACTTGGATCCTTTATTGGTCTTTGTGTTGCTACAGGTAAAATTAATTAAAATAAATATGATGTTTTGAATTAAAGCTTTTTGTATATTAATAGGTTACTAATCTATTCCTAAAGTCCTTTTCTAATAAATATTTGGATAGCTTACTACTTTATTAGGTCCACTTTTACTAAAAATAAAGTGATAAAAATAAAAAATGGCAAACTTAAAAACTATAATGTTTCAAATATTCTTAATTATATAATCATATTTATTTTTTAAATATTTAGTTATCAATTATTTTAAATAATATTAATAATTTTATCATCTCTATAATTACTTTAAATAAATTTAATTTTCTTTAAATTATTAAAAAAGTATTTTATCAATATTTCTTTCATATTTATTTTAAATTTTTTGTTTATTTATTTTTTCTTAGCTTAATTTATAATTTTAATAAGCACTAAGTAAATCTTAAAATGTACAGATAATTTTTATTAACTTTAAATAATTTAAAAAGTATAAATATATAAAAAGTTTCTTTAATTTTATTTTATTGAGAATGTCTTTTATTATATTTGTCCTTATTTATCTTATTGATGAAAAAATATAAAAATAAATAATATTTTTTAATTTTTAAGAAGCAACATTATGAATGAATTTTCATTTAAATTTTTTTATTAAATAATGAAAATTTAAAATTATTATGGCTAATTGCATTATTTTTTTGAAGTTGAGATTACTAAGACTTATTTGAAAAATATTATTAATTTTCTCTATATAGAAAAGATTTAAACAATAAAGATCAGCAAGATTTTTCTTTTAATTAATTAGGAAATATTTTGGCTGTAAATATTTTGTTAAAATTTTTATAATTTTTAATGTTAATATTTAAATTTTAAGTTCTTATTTGAAGATGACATTTTAAAATATATGCTTAGAATTTTAAAAGTTGTGATAAAAAATATAATAAATCTATTAATTTTTATAATACAATTATAAAATTATCATAAAACATTATAAATTGGTGAGTTTAAATTTAATATCTTTATATGGTGTTTATTTAATAGCAATATAGATATATACATTAATTTTTTGAGTGTTAGAATACTTTTTGGAGTAATTAATTTTTTAAAAAATTTATGAATAAAATTACATTGTAATTTAAGCATTTTTTAGTAATAAATTTGATGGTCTCAAATAATTTTTATCAAAAAATGTATTACTCAATATTATTACCTAAGAATATGAAATTTAATAATGTACACTCAAATTTAATAATATAAATTCAATAATAATCTGATTAGATCATTTACATAATTAATATATTAATTTTTATCCACATATAATTTGATTACCAAAAACAATAAATTTGTGGCAAAAGTAAAAAGATTTGGATAATTCAGTATTGTTACTAACTATATACAATCATTTAATTTCAGCGAAATTAAAATTTTAGTATTAACTATTTGGCTAATTTACATCTAATAAAATTAAGATTATAGATAAAAGCATTAGGTTACCATTTTAAAAAAATGTTAATTAGAAATTATTCTCCTGTTAAGACTAGCTCTTAAATTTCTCATCAAACAAAGTAAAGTCTTTATGATTCCATGAAGTTTTAGATGAAAAGATCTTCTTCTCAAAATCCAAATATTTCATTAGATTAGAGAAGCCTAAATAGCTTTTTGTTAAATCAGAATGCCTTAAGAATAGTTTCCCCCTACAAAAAGTAAATAGTACTCAACAATATTATATGAAATATTATATTTGTCAATTTTAAAGGGTATAAAGGCAAACATTAGGGTTCCACAATTTAAATGTTTTATCTATTCGCGACTGTAGTGGTCATAATTAGCTATTTTTAAGTAAAGACGCCTCACCAATAAAAAAAAGAGCGCTTAATACAGTAATTAGAATTTTAAAAATAAAAAGATCAATTAAAATTATTATTTAATATTCTATATAGTAAGCATCAACAATAAGGAGTGAATTGATTATATAAGCAACTTAAAAAGACTAAGAAGAGGTATTGAAAAAATTTTAAAGAAGCTAAACTCCTCTTAATAAGGGTTAAAGAAACATTCATATAAGATCTATAAGCTCCTGCAATTTAAACATGAGTAAATATTTAATATATGAGAGTTAATATCTCATTTTTGCCTTTATACAATTTTTTAAATTTACTAATTATAAAGCTAAATAAGAGTCAGCTTCTCCTACAAAAGTTAATAATTCAGGGTTAGACTCAAGTAGAGGAATGTTAACTTTTAGCACAAATTTTTAAAACACACCAAAAACAGCAAACAGTTCTCAAATGAGAAGAAGTGAGTCTTCAGGTTTTAGAAAATCAGATAATCTCAATTCCTAAGTTTAAGTTAAAATTAATGAATATGAAAATTTAAATAACGTAAAATAGAGTTTTAAAGTATTTTTTTAACTAAGATTCATATATTTATAAAGAAAATATAAGAACTGCAATATGAAAAGTAGTCTATGTAAGAATATATTGAGAGAATTAAAAAAGAGATCACCAATGAAAAATTTTTAATTTAAATATCCAAGGATAATACAGTAAAGTACAATAGAGAAAATAACAATAATATGGCTTCTAATGATCGTTTGGCTTAAGAATAGTTATACAAATCATTAGAAATATAAAAAATACTATAAGAAATAAATTAGATTAAAATTGATTAAGAGGAAATTAAATAATATAACTCTTAAATTTTAGAATAAATTGAAAACGAAAAACTGTAGATTGAATAACTGAAAGGTGAAATTTATCAGAATAAGAAGGATTAACTAGATATGAATGTAATATTTTATTTTTTAAATGAAGTTATATTATTTAATGTTAAATTAAAAGAAATAAAAAGAAAAGATTCTTAAAGATCTCCAAATTTAACACAAGCAAATGATTTGCATAGAAAAGAAATATATTGATAAGGTAAAATAAATATTTATTTTTTTGTCGTTTTTTGAAAATAAATAAATTGTATTTAAATCATCAAAAAAGGCTCGCTTATAAAACTAAGTTCTTCATAAAGTGAACACAAGTTGTCTCTCCTAAGATTTTTTAGATAAAAATAATATCCAAAGTTAAAGTGCATCATCTAAAAATATTATCAGCCTTTCTTAGATAAATGAAGATAACGATAAATAAGACAGTTTAATTCTCAAAAATGACCATTAAATTCCTTCTTTGTTCAAAGCAAATTCTAAAAATAAAAAAAAGAATGAAAATACAATTTAATTTTCTTTAGAAAAAAATCAAACTAATTCTTATAATAACGATATGTTTTGACTATATTTATAAATTTATTTTTAACATAATTTATTTATATATTAAAGATTGCTTAAAGTTTTCTTAATCTTTGCTAAATAATTACCAAAAATTGTTAAATTCGTTAATTTTTTATTTATAATAAAATATGTAAATAATTTATTTAATTACTAAAAAACAGATTCAAAAAATAATTTATTTTAATTTTTTAATATTTACAATAAATATATACTTATGCTTATAATTGGATAATTTAAAGAGAAATATATTGGCTATTTATTTAAAAAAGTGATGAAATATCCATTTGAATTTATCAAAATTTATATGCAGAAAACTTTAGTTATTATTTATTTGTAAATTAATCTTAAAAAGTATTTTTGATGGGTTTATTATTTTAGTTTTTAAATCTGCTTTTCAGATAATAAATAAAAATTTATTTTTTATTTGAATGATTAATAATAATACAATTCTTATTAATAAAAATATTTAATGGATAGTAATATTTACTTTCTGTAAGACTGAATTCAACAATTTTTAGAATTTTTAAGCTTTTGAAAAGATGAAGAGTTTATTAAATAAATTTTAAAAGTTTTTAAGTTTTAAGAATTGATGGGATATTTTAATTTAACATTAAAAAGAAAAATAAATGGATAGTAGTATTTTGATAGTTATAAATTTTAATACGCTAATACATATATTCTTTCATAAAAAAACATTTATCATTTATGATAAATTAAAGAACTTGCAAATTAAAACATTTAAAATCACTTTCATAACTTTTAACTAGTTATAATAGTCCTAAAATTTTTTAGCACTCATAAAATATTTAACCAGTAAAATTAAATTCTAAATTTTATCAGAACTTTTTTTCCTATTTTAAGTTTTAAAGATATATAAATAGGTTTTTACAAATCTAAAATGATTAAACATACTTATATTTCTGAGCCTATAGGATTTAAAGTATTTAAAATTTGATATAGACAAACTTTTCATAGTAATTGGTATTAGATAGTAATAAACAAATGATAGATAAATCAAAATATATTAATATGATTTTTCTATTATTTAGAATGCATGAACAACTAGCTTTTTATGTATTTTTTTTATTCTTGTCTGCTATTTCAAGTTTTTTTGAATGAGTCTTTAATAAAAACCATACACATATATTTTTCAGTTTAATCTTTTTTTTCAAAATTAATAAATATTATATAAAATATACTTTTTGATAATAATTAAAAAATCAAGTTTTATAGATTTAGGTAAACTTAGTTAGAATTGTAAGTAAACTTGTAGTATTATATTTAGTTACTGCTTATAAAAACATGGGTTAATTAGCTATTACAATTTAAAATAAATGCTGCTGTAATAACTCTGAATCAAAAGGAGGATACTTGCAATTTGACCAGGATTTTCAACAAATTTAGATAGATTAAGAATTTTTCAATTAGTAGCAATGGTATATTAAAGAAGACAATAAACTTCTTTTTAATCCTGATAAATTTATATTTCTCTATACCGGTTATAAAAAAGATCATGTAAAATATTTAAGGATAATTGAACTAAATCAATTTAAATTGTTTTTTACCATTAAAAGCATTTGTTAAAAATAGCAGATCCTTATTTTTCATTTTAACTAATAGGATGACATGAGTAAGCATTGGGAAAAATTAGATTTAAGATAAACAATTAAGCATGGCATATTTTAAAGAGAAAATAATTATGAAGTACTTGCCTTAAAATGGAAATACCTCATAAGAAAGTAAAATTCTTTAATTAGTCTATTAGAATGAAATAACAGTTTGTTTTATGATATTTATATATGCTTGTTTAATCAAAATAGAGGAGTTCCAATGAATTTGATGAGGACAATTATATTAGATATTTATAAGCGCACCTTTACTGATAATCTTTAAGAATATACGATAGCTCTTAATATCATATTTAAAGATAATATACCATCTTAGATAAAAACTGCACCTCTATTAATGGATGATGATCGCCCTATAGAAGAGGTTGTTAAGTTTAGTATTCTGAATGAAAAAGGATACGAAGCACTTAAAAGAATATTATGGGTTTTAAAAGAAATGTATCATTAAATCGATTACAATCCTATGGTTGTTTAAATAGCAGCTTTACTTTTGGTATTTTTGAAAGAAGAGGAAGCGTATGCTGTTTTAAAGTTAATGATAGAAGATTCCACTAAATTATTGAGCGAATCAAAATAAGTAATTATAAATTATTGTTGGCAAAATAAAATAAGAAATTATTTATCTCTAAAAATATCTTAAAATAATAAAAATTAGCTTAACTCATTCTGAGTAAATATTTTTGTAAAAATTATAACTAGAATTCATCTGCAGAGGAAGAAAGGTCTCTTAGATGGCACTTTTTAATGAAAAAAGCTGATTTTACAAGGTATTATATTATATTTGCATTCAAAACTTAATAATTTAATATACTTAATCTAACTAGATTTGCAAAGTCATTCTTTGATACAGTCTCATCTAAAAGCAAAACATTTAAATAAATACTTTAGCATTTTAAAGATATAGGCTTTGATTATTTAGATCTATTCAAAGATATTACAAATAGTATATTCTCTGGATATCTTAATTTCAGCACTGTAATTAAGATTTTTATAATATACATGAATGAAGGAATCAAAGTCTATTTTAGATTTATGTATGCTCTTTGCAGAGTTATTTATAAGGATATTTTAAAGGTAATTATTTTATATTTATATTAAGTTTTTATTTAGCTTTATTGATTAAATAAGGTCAGAGATATTTCTACAATGAAAAGTCTAATCAGAAAGATGGGATTAAATATGAAACCAAAATAAATTAAAGAAATGATAAATGTAATTGATTTGATTTTCTATTCCTCTTTTATAAGATTGTTAAATTAATTTTTAAAATAGAAAGCTTTTAGTTTGAGATTGGTAAAAGTTAATTAAACACTGTAGCGTTATAGCATACGTAAAAGTGATGAAGTGGAAATGGCAACAAAAAAAATATACTTTATTCCTCATTTAGATCAAGAATCGAATATAATTAACTAAGAACAAGTAAATAAAATTAATCAAGAATTAAAAATAAATTAATACTTTCAAAATATTTCAAAATAATTAAGCTTGAAACAATATGGGGCTGGCTGCCTTAGATTTTAAAATTATCAGATGGTGTTTAGATATGGTGTTCTAATTAAGATGGTTATTCATTAGCAAATTTATATAAAAGGTGTGAATAATATCAGGGAAAACAAATGTTATTATTGGTTAAAGCTTGCAACAATTCAGTAAGCTTATTTATTTGATAATAAAATATAATTATTATTTCAAACTAGGTTTTTGGAGCTTATTGCGATCAAATTTTAAAACCTTAAAATAATTATTTTGGTTCATTTGAGTCTTTTGTTTTCTAACTTGAGCCTGAAGCAGTCAAATTTGAAACTTAAGAAGATCAGACTAATCACCTCTTCTGCTGCTTAGATTACTTTTCATTCGGTGCAGACAAGTAAAATAAATAAATAAATAGATTATTTTTTTTACTTTAAATTTAATAAATATAGTGCTGCTCTTTAAATTGATAGTAGTTTAAGTAGAGGATCTACAGATGTTTCTAAAACATATAAAAACCCTGTATTAACAGGTGATGTAAATAAAAAACATTTCTCATGCATAGAATTTGAAGTTTATACTTTTGAATGAGAAAAGAAATTAAATAAAGCTTGTTTTAAATATTAAAATTAATTTAATTTAAAATCCTTTCTATCTATCAAAAGAGATACTTACTTACTTAATTACTCATCATAAATGGTTAAATATAGATAATCAATTGAAATTTAATTAGTTAGTTACATTGTATAATATCTGTCTATTTTTTCAAAAGACATCCTATTTATTGTATTTATATTAATCATTATCTTAATTATTTCAAACTTTTAAATCTGCTAAACAAATTAACTAAAATAAAATAATCTTTTTTAAATAGTTTTATTCATGTTATTTTGCTTGTTAATTAATTTTCTTTAGATTTTACTGGATTATAATACATTTTTTTAAAAATAAAAAATGATTCCTCCGAGGTTTGAACTCGGGACCTTCAGTGTGTTAGACTGACGTGATAACCACTACACTAAGGAATCGTACTTGATAATTAACATAAATTATGATTTAGTATTTGCTACTATCTTAGATACTATTTTCAAGCATTAGGAAAAATCAGTAATCAAATCTTATTATATTTTGTTTATTTTAATAAATAAACAAATAAGCAATTAAATATTAGAAATTAATAGAAAAAATATACAATTTTAATATTGTTGGGTCTATTACTTTTAAAAATTAATTAATAATTTAAAATCAAAAACTAAAAAACTGAAAATTTCAACTATTTAAAAAAAGTTTAAAAGGTAGATCATATGAATATAGATTGGGACAAGCTTCAGAAAGACGGAAAGTTAGAAGACCCTAATATTTAAAATATTATAAATGAAGTCAAATAGTAATTTATAGAAGAAAAAATGAGAAAATGCTAGGAGAAAAATTAAGAAGTTTAATAGAATTCTGAAAATAAAGAAAGGAATATTTTAGAGCAAATTGCTTTAGATTAGTTAGAGGAAGAGGAAACATAAAAAAAATTGGAAGAAAGTAAAAGCATTCAGAATAGTTAAAGCTCTTAAAGCAAAAATACTAATACAAAACTTTGTTAAAATTGTAAGCAATAAGACAAAAAAGTAAGTTCTTGTGCTGGTTGCAAAGAAGTATATTACTGTTCAGTTGAATGTTAAAAAGCAGATTGGAAAAACCATAAAAAGCCTTGTTAAATTAAATAAGAAGAAATAAAGGAAATTTAGAGATTAGAAGAGAAGAAAAAGAAAAAGAATATTGATTGGTTTGAGAAAATAGATAACTGTGGTTAGGGTAATTTTAGTGTCATTTAAAAAATGAAGGAAATATCAACTGGAAAAATATATGCTATTAAGGTAATAGAGAAGAAAAGACTCAAATAGTTAGGAAAAGAGAAAGATATAATCATGGAAAAGCATGTCCTTAAAAAGCTCAGTGGTTCGCCATATGTAATTGAATTATTTGATACTTTTTCTGACGAATTGTGCTTGTATATGTAAATGGAGTTCGTGGACGGAGGAGAATTATGGAATTATTGTCGTATCTTTGGTCTTATAGGAACTTCACTTGTAAGATATTTCTTTGCAAAATTATTGGTTGCATTAGAGTTTATACATTCTAAAGGTAATTAATTAACTACTTCTGAGAGATATTTTTTTAAAATTAAATTACTCTTACTGTTATTTAGGTATTATTCATAGAGACATTAAAACAGAAAATGTTTTAGTTACAAAAGATGATAAAAATATTAAATTTTGTGATTTTGGTACAAGTAGAGATGCTTTAGATGATAGTATTTAAGGTGCAGGTACAGGAAGACCTGGTAAAAAGATGTTTGAACATTTTGTAGGAACTCCTAATTTTATGGCTCCTGAGTGTGTTAGAAATAAGGCAAGTGAATATAGCAGCGATATATTTAGTTTAGGAGGTTTAGTTTTCTAGCTTTAAACAGGATTCCCTCCATTTTTAGGTAGAAGTGAATATTTAATCTTTTTACAATCAGAAAAACAGGATCCTATATTTTAAGAGGAACTTTGGTAAAATCAAGATGATTTAAAAGACTTAATACTAAAAATGATGAAGAAAGAAATGACGGAAAGAATTACTATACCTGAGATTAAGAAGCATCCTTACTTTAAAAACATAGATTGGGGAAATCTCCCAACTTACGAAGAGTCTTTGTAGAAGTTTACTAAAGAAGAAAGATTTTTCTAAAATATAAAAGGTGATTTAATTAGTAATTTTAACGACTTGAATGAAAAAGCTGATATGGTAGATAAAAAATTCAAGGAATGGGAATAAAAACTAGAAACAATTGATGAATTTGATGAATAAGAGAAAGGTTAAATTCTGAAAAGATTATAATTCATGCATAAATAAGCAAAGCAGATGTTTAATATAGAAGAATTCTTCTGGTAAGACTTCTAATTAGCTGATAAAGGAAACTAAAAAAAAGATTAGTCTGATGATGATGAAGATGATGATGATAATGACGAAGATGACTAAAACTAAAATAAAGATAAAAAAATTAAATGAATTAATAAACAAAAAAAATAAATTTTAGAAATTTTTTCATATTTATTTCTATGTTATATTTAAAGTAGTTAAAAAATAAAAATAAAGTTTTAAATTTAAATAATATACTTGAGATAATTAAAATCAACTAATACACAAATTTAATCTGGATGTTAAAAATTAATATTTTTAATAAATTTAGGAAAAATAAGAATGAATAATTTGCTGTAAAATATGTGCAGATAGATATTTTTGAAATATATAAAATGTGATGAATTTTAATGTGTGTTTTTTTATATGTTTATAATATTATTAATTAATTAACTAACAAGCCAATTTTATTTAGTTACAAAATATTTAAATAACTTCTAAATTTAACCTTTAGCTTATACAGAGTTTTTAATTAATTCAAGATTAAATATTTATATTATTAAAATACGACAGGAAATATAACCAATCAAAAACTTTACAGAAGAAAAGATTTAAAAAATTTTTTTATTAAAGTAAAAGAAATCTAAATTACAAACTATTAACTCTTTGAGGTAATTTAATTACTCACCAAATAAAATTTTAGGCATTAGAAATCCAAAAATAAAATATTACTAATTCATAAATAATCTATTAATTTAATTGAGAGCATATTAAAAATTTGATGCATATGATCTGAAATATATATTATCCTTTCTTTATATAAATTATTTATTAAGTAGAAATACTAAAAAATTCAGTACAACTAACAGAAGAATTCATATCAATATTATATTTAGAATTTTTAGTTTAGACATATGATAAATAAAAATTAAAGCACTTCTAGTGATCTCTCCAATGATAAATTATCTAAGGAAGCAGCTGAGTTAAAGTAGCAAGATAAGGCCATTTATACAAACAACTCTATAGAAGAGAATTTACTTGAAGAGGATTCTGTCAATCACAAAGAAGATGTATACAGAAAATAAAAAAGATATTATTTCCTTCCTTTTGCATGCTTTATTCTTATAGGTGGTTTTTTCAATAATACCTTTCAAGCATTTATTAAACAATAATTTATGGATTCAATGGGGATAGATTCGTCTGGTTATAACCTTTTTGTGCTCATTCCTCCTCTACCTAATATTATTCTCCCAGTTTTTTCTGGTCATATATTTAATTGGCTAAACTTAAGGAGAGGTTTATTCTTATTTTCAAGTATGGTGCTTATTGGTATGACACTGTGTTTGATCGCTTCTTATCCTAAATCTCTACCATTAATGATTATTGGCAAAACTATTCATTAAATTGGTAATGAAATGCTTTGTATAGGATAAAGTAAATTAACTTTTTTTCAGTTTTTAATTAATTTTGAGTGAATAATCTATTTATCAAAATACTTTTTATTTTCTTATGCATATCTATATAGATAGCTATTTATTAAATATTAATCAAATTTAAAATGTATTTGCATAAATTTTACTTATATGATTTTAATTTATTCATGAGAAAACCACTTTATAATTTTATAATTTGAGATAAAATTAGTTAGTTGGCTTATTAAAAATTTAGGAAAATTTTAATAATATTTAATAATTTTAGGTGCACTAGTTAGTATATGGTTTGACAGTACAACAATATCTTTTGCATTTACTTGGGGCAGCTTTGTTTCTAAGTTATCAGGATCAGTAGCTGGTATAGTCTTTCCTTAATTATATAATATCGAAGATGATCTTTAGATACCTTTATTTGTAAGCGTTGGTACATGCGCATTCTCTTTCTTGTGTGTTTTAGTAGTTATTTATTATGATTATCAAGCAGAAAAGCTATTTCATGCAGATAAAAAGAAAGGAGGATTAACTTTAAAATAGCTTAAGGAATTTTCTGGTCTTTATTGGATATATGCATCATAAGCAGCTTTGTTATATGGAACTTTTTATGCATTTGAAAGTTATCTTCATGCAATTTTGTAACACAAATTCGGTATTGATAAAACTACAGCTGGCTCAATGGTTTCTATTCCTTTCTGGGTTTCTTTTTCAGCTCCAGTCTTTGGTATTATAGCTGATAAATTTGGCAAAAGAATATTTTGTTTAATTGCAACTGCCTTCGTTGCATTAATTTCAATTATTGTCATATTAATAATGCCAGGTTCAACTGCAGAATCTGTTATTTATATTCCATTAGTTGCATTTGGTATGTTCTTAAGTATGATGGCTGCCTATTTATTCCCAGTTTATCCTTTGCTTTGTAAATTAGAGGTTATCAAAGCAGCCTTTGGTATTGGATATGCTTCTAAAAATGCTGGGCTTTCACTTTTTGGATATGTTGGAGGATAAATATTAGGAAGTGATGAAGAAAACTACAATGCTTATTTGTTCTTCTTCATTGGTATATTTGTTGTTTCAATAATCGTTTCTGTATACGGGTTCATTTTAGACAAAAAAGCTGGAGGTAACATAAACTCTAAGAGGCCACACGTCTCAAATGTTGCAGAAGAAATTTCTAAAAGAATGTCATTAGGAGGATCAATGATTTAATGATATGTCTTAGTAAATACTGTAAAAACTCAACTCAAAAAAATATTTTATTTCTAATTAAAATTTAATTATTAAAAGCATAAATAAGTTGTTATATTATCTTAAATTCTAAAAGTGAAATTATTACTTTAAATAAAAAGTTTGATTTGATATATAAAGAGAATTATTTTTAAAATCAAAATTAAATTAAATAAATTAAAACATTATTACATATTCTAAATTATTGTATTGTTATTATTGAATTATTTATAAAAACTTTTTTTGAATCTAAAAGTTAATATTTCATTCTGAAAATCAAATTATTACTTAATAATTGCAAAGTGTTTACTATTTTAAACTAATTAAGAATTTGTCTTAGTTAATTTTGATAGATTAAAGTTAAGAAATATAACCACTTAAACAATACAAGCTATAATATTTTTTATTAGTAAAATAGATAAATAAAATAAATTTAGATTTTTAAAGTAATTTTATGTTAAATAAATAAATTTTATAAATTTATTTAATTTAAATAGTATTTAAAATTAATAATAAGAATTTAAAAATTTTACTAAAAACCTTGATTTATTATTAAGAAATGAGTGTATTACCTTTTAACTTATTGAATAGTATTTAATAATTAAAAATAATTTATATTTTTATAAAATATTTTTCATATAAAATTACTAAATTAATTTAATTAATTAGCTAGATTTGTGAATTTAATAAATATAATATGATTTCATGTATTTTTTATCTGAATTTTAACACAATAATCAAGTTCATTTAAGCTTTGTAAAAATTTAGCTAAAGACTGATTTCATTTCATTCTTAATAAGAAAATAAAACGAATACAAATCAATATACAATAAAGAAGAACCTTTATTAATTTTTTTGATCATGAATAATATTTATTGCAAATAATTATAAATAATAATAAAAGAAAGAAACTATCTAAATTAAAGACAATAAATCAATCAATTTATAATTTAACTAAAATGTCCAGCTCCAAACTCCCTGAAGAAAATAAAGGGAATCAAAATCATGAATAGACAAAAGCAGCTGAGAACCATGAAGAAAAGTAGAACCATTAAACAGAAAATCATAATGCTGAGAATTAACATGAATAATAATAATAGCATTCTAACTAGTAAAATAAGCATGAAGCTCATCATAAATAAGATAAGGAGAATTAAAATGCGCACAATAAAAATGCAAATTCATCTTTAGAAAGATAAAACCCTCATTAAACTAGCAGTTCTATGTATAAGTAGAATTAATCAACCTAACAAAAAGAATATGAGGTTCCTGTTGTTGAAGAGATTAACATTGGAGCTCTTACACCTAAGAGTCGCGAAGCTTGTCGCCGTATAGGCTTATCCCCTGAAGATTTAAGAAAAAAATAAGATTAAGAAATTGCTCATTTAGTGAAATTAAAAACTGGTGCTAATCATGTTGATCAAAATACAATTAATATGTTTTAAGCTCATTTCGAAAAAAAGAGATAAAAGAAAATCAATCAAGTATATTAATTTCTAAAAAGAAAATCTTAATTAATATGGTTTATATTTTGCATTAAATTATTAAGTTATACTATTTTTATACTAAAAATGCTTAATTCTTGTTTATTTCAATTATTTATTTGAATAGATGAAAGAAGCACGTAAGGAAGTTGAAGAGGATGAAAAGAATGGATTATGGCCTAACAATAACAACGCAAATAATTAATCATAAATGAAGTCTTCTTATGTAATTTAAATTAATTTAGTTACATATATCTATTTAATATAAGGCAGTTTTTTTAGTTTTACTTTCAAAAAGCCTGATTTGTATATTTAATCGTTTAAGATATTATATTAATTTATATATATTTTTATAGTATAACAATGAAGGATCTCAAATGAATACTACTTAAATGGGAAGTATTAGCTTAGTTGATAAAGAGAGAAAAATGTTTGAAAAAATAAAACGCAGATAAGTAACATATTTTCTTTATCGTTTAAACAAATAGCTGCCTACACAAATATCCTTTTATGTTTAATTCAGCAATAGGAAATAGAAAAAATGATTGAATATGAAAAGAAAATGGAAGAAATAAGATAGATAAATGAAGAAAAAATAAGACAATAAAACGATAGAGAAGCTAAGCGTTAAGATGAACTTAGAATGAAGAAAAGAGAAGTAAAAAAATATGTTATTCTTCAAAATATTTCTCATAAAATTTTAATATAAATAGTAAGACGAAAAAAGAGTTAAGTTAGAAGAAGAAAGAAGAAAGAGAGAATAAGAAGAAGAATTGGAAAATAGAAAAAAGTAAGCTTTGGCCTTTGAAAAAGAGTAAGAAAGAATCAAATAATAGTAAGAAAGGGAAAAGGAAAAGAGAAAAGATATTTAAAAAAAGGAGCAAGAAAATGCAGAGAGATAAGAAAAGTTAAGATAATAAACTGAGTCAATTTTACAAAAGCAATAATTGTTAATTGAAGAAAGGAGAAAGAAAATGGAAGAGTAAGATAAAAAGAGAATAAGTGCTATTAATGAAATGAATTATACGAGAAAGGTATATGCAGAAGAAAAGAGAAAGCATCATGAATAAAGAATTGAATAGTGCAAAAAAACAAATGATGATATTCTAATTACTAAAAGAATTGTAAAATTAATTAATTAATTGAATTGATTTAAAATACGTTTATTTATTAAAGGAATTCGAAAAGAAATAAAAGCATGTTGAAGAGTAAAAAATTAAAAAATAATATTTTAAATTTAAAAAATAATATTTTATAAAACTCTTTGAATTATTTTTAGAAAACGTAAGGAATTTGAAAAAATAAAATATGAGACTCTTTATGAAAGATAGCAAAAAGCTTAAGAAAAATAAATGAAAATATCTACTGTGTTAGTAATAAAATATTTAATTTATGGTTAATAATTCAAAAAAGTAACTAATATTATCTTTAATATAAGTTAACTAACGAATAAAAAGAAGAATAAAAAAAGAAGCAATATTATGATAAACTAGAATAATTATAAAAGAGAAAGGAAGAAATTAACAAGTAGATCTAGCATGAGTAATCTGAAAGATAAAGATACTTCTAAGAAAAAGAACAGAAGATATAATAAGTAAAATGTTTTTACTGACTTAATATCTTTTATATTCTTATTCACTAATATTTAAAAGACCTTAAAAAACAATGAGACTTTGATGGAGTCTAAAAAGTTGACTTTACTAAAAAGATTTGGAGAAACTGATTAAAAGGTATTGACAGCTTAACAAAGAAAATAACAGGAATTATAGGAAAAATTAAACAAACAACTTCTAAAAGAATTGGATAAGGAAGAAAATATTAAAAGAATGGAAAACATTTAAGAATTAAAGAAACAGAAACTCTTAGTCAAAATTGAAAAGGATAACCTCAAGAGATAAATTATTGAGTAATTTATATATTATGTATTATCATAGGTAGCTTTATTTTTCAATAAACTAGGATGGAGAGATAAAAAATGATTAAGCTAAGTGAATAAGTTAGAAGATAAATGGAAGAAAAAAGAGAGTAGTAAATGAAGGAATGGGAATAACAAAGAAAGAAAAAAATTAGAGAACTTTAAAACATGAGCAGAGATTAGTTCAGAGGAGGCAGCCAAACAAATTTGGAAGGTAAACATAAAAAAGGATTTAAAAAATATTAATAATAATTATATTATTCAGATCAACACGATTAGAATAATGATCACCACGATCATGAAGAGCATGAAAGATAATTCAATTAAGCTCATGAAAAAAATAATCATAATCACGAGTAGTAACATTAATAATAAGAAAATTAGCAGGAGAAAGAATCAGAAAGCCCTGCTAAATAAGAAGTTAAATAAGAAAATTAACATTCTTGAGAAATTCATATCAGAGCTTAATAAAAATTTTTTTATTAACAAACTAATTTATTACTTATTAAATAAGTTAATTTTTGTAATTTCTATTAATCTATTTCTATTCAAATTAATTAAAAACAATTAGCTAAGTTTATTATTAAATATAAAACAGCAAAACTATAAATTTATTAAAATTACATTTTTAAAAAGGGGTTTAAAAGAAGATTTTAAATAAAAAACATCTAATTCTAATTTTAGATGAATATTAAAAGAGGATATTTTATATATGAAAAATTTTTACATTTTTAAAAATAAGATTCGTCAAATTTGTATTTTTTTTAATTTAAATTTATTTGAAATTTATTGCATAAATTTAGACAATTTTTGTTAGAAAAATTGATTATAAAAAAAAATCTAAACAAATGAATTTGTATATATTTATAATTCAAACTTTATTTAGTTCAGTTACTGTAGTATTTTATTATTAGCTGTCATTTATTTCTTAACAATAATTTTATGGACAGCTTGAATTTAGATGTGAGCCTTACTTACGATCAATAATATATATCAAACAAGATATAATCAATGAAATTAAGTAGTTAATTACAAAAAATAATAAGAAAGAGTTATTTCCCGTACTTTTATTTGCCATGATCTATCCACAAATATAATTCATAAGTGCTAAACCTATAATTAATTAATTAATTAATTAAAAGCGTCAAAATATTATTTTTTGTATCATTAAATTTTAATTTTACCTCCATTTTTACATGAATAACAAATTGCAAATCCTGTTCCAAGTGTTTATTTTTATGAAAGGAATGGAATAGTGGGGAAAAGATAAGCGCACATAAAACTCAAAAATATTCCAAATATTACTAAAGAAGCACAAACAAGTACTAGATTTTCACCTTAAGGTGCTACTAACAATATAAATATTGAAAGTAAAGCTAAAAAAGAAGAAAATACTAATCCTATGCATCTATAACCAAACTTTTCAACAAATAAGCCAAGTAAAGGGACGACAAAGGCAATCCAATAAGGAATTGATACAAGTTCTCCAGCAAGTGTTGTTTAAATTAAAAATTTTTTTGTAAAAATAGTTTAAAGATAGTTCTCATAAGCATAGAATCCACCAAACATGAGAAAACATTGACTAGCATACATCCAGTATACTTTACTTAACTTTTTTAAATCGTCAAATTTAAACTTACTTTTTTTAACTTCCTTAGTTGGTGTAGGAGTAGTCTATTTATCCGCATTTCTATCATAGTAAAAGACAATCCACGAAGTAAAACAATTCATGATGCAAAAAGATATTCCTAGATAAAATGGAGACATCAAATTGTTATGTTGGCTATAAAGTTATGGATAAGCTATTCCTGATACAGAGCTGGCTATTTTTGTTGAGAAACTTTATAGGGTAAAAGCTATCGCTAACCCCTTAGAGGTAAACCATTTTCCTGCTAATGTACCTTTAAAAGTAGAAAAAATTATTTTATTATTTCTTTGTGTATTACAAAAAATTTTATGAAAATATAAGTCTAAAAAAAAACTTAATATTTAATCATACTGTAAACAATAAAATTAAATTTAAGCTATATTTTATTTAATTAATATAAAAGAATAATTAGTCAGATTTTCTAAGTGTAAAGTTATTTAGTTGGAAAATTTTGTATTTAATATATCAATTGCTTATTTTAATTAAATTTGAGTAATATCAGAATTTGATTCCATGGATTAATTTTGTATTTTGCTTTTTATTAAAAAGTCAATTTATAATCAGAAAGAAATAAATATATTAATAGAATTGTTATATAAAATTTTAGACTTTTAACAACTTGAATAAGTTTTCGATGTTTAATTAATATCATATTTAATTGTCTTTGATTTATTTGATCAAATTAATTTTTCATCAAAATTTTATTTAGTTAAAGAGTCTTAGTAATTTATTTATTTAATTGAATCAAATAAAAATTTTATTTTCATGATTGGATGAAAAAATTTGGAAAATATTTTTAATGATCAAAAGTCTAATAAAATAATTAATTTTTTCAATAAATTGTTATAAATTAGTAAATATTTTATTATTTTTAATTTGATTTTACTAAATGAGATGTTTTGGCACTCAACTGAAATAGCTAGCAAGGTTTTTCCAAAAATTAACCAACCCAATGAGCTAACGCTAATTGATATCATGCATAAAGACATTCCAAGTGAAATTATAAATGTGAACAATACCAAACATGTACGTGCTCCCACTAAGTCCATAAAAGGTCCTACCACTAATGGAAGTACTATGTTTGGTAAAGTAGGTATAAGAAGGAACCAACTGTAATCACTAGTATCCATATTCATTTATGTCATTAACTGCTCTTTAACGAAAGATTAAAAGTTCACATTAAAGTAAGCTCCAAAAGTTACTGTAGAAAGGAATGGAAGTATCCAAAATCTTTTTGTCTCTATGAATTTGTTTTATTCACTAGATTGCTCTTCGATTTACATATTATCAGATGTAATAATACGTTCTTTTTATGAAACAAGTATTTAGTTTAATGAAAATTACCATGAATAAATGTTAATATAAAAAATGTAGTTCTCAATAAAAATTATTTACTTCTATTTTCTATTTAGTCAGTTTCAGTGGATTCACTCACAGTTGATTAGTTAAGAAAATTAGTTTTATTTTCCATTTTATTCTTAAAATATGCAAGTTAGAGATTTCAAAAGCTTTAATTTTTTTCTAACCTTTTAAAAAAGTTATTTATTTTTGAAAACTAATATTTACTAAAATATCATAATAAATGTAGAGTTTTTAAAGTGAAAAAAATTTTAATTATTTGTAACAAAGTAATTAAATGGAAAATTAGAAGAAATAATTAATTACTCTTTAACCTTCTGATCAAATATAATACTGAAATTTTAAATTTGGTTTACAAAGATACTATTTATGATTTTTATTTATCACTAATTTTTGAGAATAAAATTTTTTTTAACAAATAAGTAATAAATTGAGAAATATACCTGAATTTTTTATAACGAAAAGATAAGAGTACAAAATTAGTTTAATTTACTTGATAGCTCTCAATTTGCATATTTTCAGATGTAATAATACGTTCTTTTTTGAAACTAATTTTTAGTTAATGACAATTACCATTAATAAGTTTTAATATAAATAGTGTAGTTTTCAATAAATAAAAATGATTTACTTCTATTTTCTATTTAATCAGTTTCAGTGAATTAACTCGCTGTTTATTAGTTAAGAAAATTATCTTTATTTTCCATTTTATACTTAAATGTTGCCAATTAGATATTTTGTGAGATTTAATCTTTTTCTTCCCTAAAAAAAAAATTATTTATTTTTGAAAATTAATATTTACTAAAATATTATAATTAGTTTAGAGTTATTAAAGTGTATAAAATTTCAATTATTAACAAAGTAATGAAATGGAAAATAAGAAGAATTAATGAATAACTTTTTAACATACTGATCAAATTTATTACTGAAATTTTTAATTTGGTTTACAAAAATACTATCTATCATTTTTATTGAACTAATTTTTGAGAATAAAATTTATTTTAACAAGAAATAAGTAATAAATTGAGAAAGATACCTTAATTATTATTTAAAGAAAAGATAAAAGTACAATCTATTCTTTTGCTGTAAAAATTAACATATGTAAAAGTTTTAGTTAGATTTACATTCTTTACAATTTCATTAAAATTTGAAAATTTGTGGTAAATTTTAAGGTATTTAAATTTTACAATATACTTAAATTACAAAGTTAGTTATTCATATATTCTTTTACAAATAAAACAGATATATAAAAAAAATAGAAGAATTAAATTAATTAATAATATCTTCTTAAATTTATTCAACTTTTTATTAATATGGAATATAATTAGATTTATCAAAGAAATAAAAAATGCTGCTTTAACAAAACTAATTAAAATTTGATTTTCAATATCTAAAATAACCTATTAATTTACTCTTCTTTAATTTTTTTCTTTGTTAAAATTTTATCAGGTCATTTACTAAAAAATATTTTAAGCTTTTCTATTTATTATTTTTGGAGAAAATTAAATAATTAAAAATTTAGTTATTAAATTTATCATCTGATTATAAAATAAATTTATTTTATAAAAAAAAAGCAAAAATATTTAAAATTTACATTTTTAACAAAATTATTTATCTTATTAAAGGAAATAAAAATATTAAAATTTACATAATTTTGATTAAATTATATTAATATAAATAAAATAAATTTAAAATATAACAAATGTTACTAATATGAAAGTAGATTATTATTTTTTAAATAAATAAATAATTTATTTAGTTTTAGTAAATATGGATTAATCTTCTTTATTCCATCAATAAGTTCAATAATAAAATAATACAATTAATTTCATTTGATTTCTTCTATAAAAAATTATGTAATTAAAAGATTAGATATAAAATGATAAGAAATATACTGCACACACAACGTTAGCAATAAATAATATTAGTTGTGAATACATTAAAAAGGTATTAGGATAATAGTATGAGATAGTAGCTCTATTTTTTGATTGGTAATAGTTAACAAGTATTTTCCAAAGAGAAAGAAAAATTATATTTATTTTTATATTTATCACAAAACCAATACTTTATTTATTTTATGGTTATTTAGATACTAATTAATACATTATAAAATTTAAAGAAAAAAATAATAAAACAACAAAAGTAATTATTTCAAAATCTAATAAAAAGGTTACAACAGAATATATAATAGTATAACTTAGTAATTATTTTAAAAAAGGAATATCAAGCAAAAAAGCAAGCTTTATCTATTACAAATCACTTGAAAATAAATTAGATAGGTATGCTACCAAAAATATAAGCTTAAACTATTTAATAAGATAAAAATTCTACGTTGCCATTTAGTCCAAAAAATGAGCAAAGCAGCTCTTAATAATAAATGGCAATGTAAAATCGATAAAATTTGAATAGTTCAAATGGTTATAATATGAATCTTACTTAAAATATGAATAGCAATCAGAATTTAAATTAGAATATTTAAATGGATGACATATTGAAGCGTAAGGAATCAAGTTGGAATCCTCGCCATCATGTAAATGCTGATTTGCCTCATTACAGTTCTTACAACGATAGACACAGTGAGAGTTACAAGCTAAGCTAATCCATAAATACGTAAAGTGGTAGAAAAAGGAAAATGATCGGCTATAAGCAGCATCAAATTATGCTAAACGATGGAAATATTTAGAACTCACATGATATGAATTAATCTGCTATTTATTAGGATGAAATGATGGGAAATTCTTCAGCGAATTTCAAAAAGAAGCAAATGTTATCGCAGTAGAGAAATAGAAGTTTAACCTATAAAAGGGTGAAAGATTAAAAATTTTAAAATAATAACGGTAATATGAGCACAAACAACTAATAAAATTAAATATTAAATGTTGCTTATAATTAATTTGGAATGGAATCTCTCTCAGATGCATAGCAGATGTAAAATTAAAATTTTAAAAATAAAAGAATTCTTACTCTTAAAGAGAAAGTGGAAGAACTTTATCAGCAAATAATAGGTCTATATGAATTCCATAATTTTTAGCATTTCCATAGGGAATATTTTGACTTATTTATTTAAGATATGCCTTCGAAGAGACTTTATGATATTTTAGTTAGAGAAATTAAGTTGATAAATGATAAAAAATCTTTGTATTAAATAACAATGAAGACAATTAGAGCAAGAGAAAACTGCCTTGATAAATTAAAAGATGCTATATTTTCCCTATCAGACTGCTATGAAAAGAAAGATTAGTAAATAGAAGAGAGTTGCTTTGATAATTGTTGTAGACTATTAGCTCATCTTAGAATCCTAACAATATCAGCAGTTGAGGCCATAAGTAACATTATTCAAAAATCATTTAAATAAAATTATAAAAACAAATCAAATAAAATTTATTTTGGACATGATTATAGTTATTATGAATTTAAGATTTTTGCTAATGATTAACAAAAAAAGAAGCAATTAGTTTTTAAAGTAGATATCAAAAGCAAACAATAAAATCATAAAATATTTTATACAAAATTTTATTAAGCCATTCAATTAAATAATTAATATTGAAACAAGTTTATTAAACTTTTTATAATTTCTAATTCAAAAGGTTAATGGAGAAATTACTTTTTCTTTATTTAAAAGTATGCTATGGGTTATGAGAAGTACAAAAAGAAGGATATCATGCTAATATTCTTCTGGGAACATATGAATTATATGTTGAAGATAAGAAGTGATGCTCATTTCGTTAATCATTCAGTTATGAATAGATATATCCCTTTTAGCACTAAATATGATCCTTTTTTTGTATATCCTAACAAAATAAAAGGAGATTGTGCCTAATTTTCTTAATTTTCAAACAAAATTTAAGAAAGTATAAACGGGTGTTTAGATCTTTCTGATCACTTAAAATAAAGAATTCAAAATTGCGAGAAAATAATTATTAATGAGTGTATAATGGATAGAGCTAATAAAAAACTTCATCCAATAAGCAAAGAGCTACTTCTCATTTAAACACCAAAATATCTTTAACCAAATCGACTTAATACTTCTGATTAAATGATAAATATGGAAAGATAAATGCCTTAATATTCAAATTAAATGTAAAGAAACGTATCTCATGAGCCAAGAACTCAATTTGAATAAGAATAAATGCATGGATCGGCATCACTCAGAGTTGATAAATCATATAATACATTAAGAAATAATTCTAGGTAAGGGTTATAAAGCTCGAGAAAATCAATGAGTGCCAAGTAAAAAATAGGAAGCTAGGATAAATATTAAGTCTATTCATCATATAGAAATGGTATAAATGGATTTAGTAATAACAATAGCACAAATGATTTTAAAAACTAAAAAAACCATAAAAATTTTAATAATTAAAGCTTAAGCTTATCAGACATTAAACAAAACCCTGAATTTGAATTTGAAAATGGAGGAGATTAATATAATGATCAATAATTTAATTAAACATTTTCACCTCAAAAGGCTGATGAAAGATTCCCAAATTAAAATCAGCAACCATCAAATTTAAATTTAGATCAAATAACTCCAAACGATGTAAATATAACTCCTAATAAAAATACCATCTCAGATTAGTAATACTATTCGAATAATGTTCCTTATTCCTTACAGATGAGCCACTCACCATCAAAATCTCAACCAACTTATGCTTTTAGTCCTAACTAAAAAGCAATCAAACAGTCAAACGGTTCTTAAAATTAATTGTAATTTCACTTCTTTTTCAAAATCTTGATTAATTTTCTTATACTTAGTAATTAATTAAATATTTAACACATTTTTCTTTATTAGTAATGAGGATAATGCAGTGAATGAAAGCTAATCTTCAATAAATAATGGAATGGTTTATGTAAATAGTAAAGAGCCAGCAAATTAATTAAAAAAAATAACTTCTCAAGCCTAGCCTACTGAAAAGTAAAAGAGAGCATACAGTAGTAATAATAATCAAAACAATTAATCTTAAAAGTAGATTACACCATACTAAAAAAATAGAGTTAAAACTTAAGCTACTGGTTTATAAGCAAATAAAGGAGGTTAATATAATGGTAAAAATTAGCAACTTAATAAGAAAGGACCAAATGGAGATATGGTAAAAATGAATGTTTAAGAAATAGGTATTGCAATCAGCGAGTATATTGAAAATAAGCTGAAAGAACCTAGATAAAAAGTTTATTATGTAAAACCTAGATCAATTATGGAAAGAGAAATAAAAGTTACACTAAAAGATTACTTTTTACGTATACCAAATATTCTTTACAAGCTCTTGGTCCACAATGAAAACCAATTTATTAATAAGTTAAAAGATGAAATTAATTTCCATTTACTTGAGATAAGGGAATAATAAACAGAAAGAATAGCTGCTTTGAGCATAATCCATGTTGATCGCTAAACTATTTCTTGCAGAAAAATTGAGATAGACCACTTTTCTGTAATTGAGTTAGAAAATTTTGATCCTATTCTTAAGAAACTTCTTGAATATATCTGGAATAATGATTCTGCTGATGAAATTAGCTTCAAAATATGTTGTAATGAGTAGCCAGATGAGCTAAATCCATTCCAAAGTATACAAGAAATACTTTTCGAGAACCATTTTAAGTGGAGAGAAGTAGAAACTAGTGAAGAAGAAAATGAAAACTAAAACAGCGAAGGTCTTAATCCATTAGATCTAAATAATTCTTAGGCATACCAATAAGGTACTACTGCATAGACTACAACCCTCAAAGTATTCTATGTTTAAAGACCTAATTCAAAACCAAAAATTAAGCTACCGAATTTAAAATATGTTGAAAACCACGCATTAACTGTTAAATAAAGTGTTATAATATCTAAGGAACCTTTAGAAATGGATGATCATATGAAATTAATGAATTTATAATATCAAGAAAAACCAGGAAAGTATGTTGACATTACTATGATATTGATATCTATTTTAGTATAAATATTTACTTCAGAAAATTTAAGAGATTTGGCCAGTGTTAAAACAAACAAAAAAGTTAAAGAAACTTTTAATATAGCAAGCTAGTTACGTACACCAAGCAGCGGCAACAATTCACAAATAAAAAACGTACGTGAGAGTTAGTAAAATATCTAAGATTAAGCTAATTATGAAAAAGAAGAATAAGGTATGTAAAGTGAACACGAAAAAAGTGAAATATAACCTATGAAACAATCATAATCTATGATTAAAGATAACTAGAAGTCTTCTAATAATCCTAATAACTTTTTACTTTAATCTGGTATACTCAAAAACGAAGAATTTCCTTCGATACAAGGATTAAACAAATATCTGACTGGGTTAAATTAAAATGTATTTTTGCTTAAAGATGCTCCAGTTTTCAAGAAAAATAAAGTAAATCTAGGTTTCTTACAGCATGGTTTCCATCTCCCTAATTTCCATTAATCAGTATTAACAACTGTAGGAGATAAACCTTCTTTCTATTTACGTATAAGAATAACTGAAGATCTATAAGGTCTTTGTTGGAAATTAAGGAGCTCTTCTGTTTACGGAGAACATCAACTCTTATTGATTCCTACTGAAGATTATAATAATTTTATGTTTTTCCTAGATGCCAGAGAATATATTGCTAAAGAAAACCCTCCAGATTTATTCCTATTTTTACGTAAATTTTTAGAATCAGTTGATGATAAGCAGTAAGTAGAAGGTGATGTGTGGATTCCGTAATTTAAAAAGAAATCTCTTCTTATTAAAAATACTGATGTAGCCTCCATTTTTGCAGAAAAAAAGATTTATACAAATTTAGAAACTTCTCTTATTTTTAGAGATTAAATTTAAGGAGGTAAAATGATATTAAACGATTTAGAGTAGAATGCCTTTCTAATAAGAGCACCATTTATTTTTGGTATGCTTCATAATGATTTAGATGCCATTATTTAAAATATACCCTTTTACTCTTTTGTGGTAGATGAAGATGATTTAGATTTTGTCTAAGACAAAAATTCATATTAAAGAAGAATAAATACAAACATTCACCCATCCTTGTTACAGAATGTTCCTACAAATTCATAACTTAAGAAAATGAATACTTAAGAAACATTAAAATGAAATAATACAATTAAGCCCAAGAATAAATAAATAAATGAATGTAACACATTAAATTCAATTTAAAAAATTTAAATCATAAATTGTCAACCAAGTTCTTTTTTAAGAATATTTTAGTTTTTACTTGTAAATACAATTTTAAGTTAATCAATAGTAAATCAATATATATTTCATTTTTAAATGTTTAAATATTTTATATTTTATAAATATTTTTTAAAGAGTTTGACTTTTATTATCAATTAACCATATCTCAAATAAATTTAGCAATTAATTTTCTGTTTATTTTTTTTCTTTCATTTTATTTTATAAAATATCAAAATTTTATTTTTAATAATTCTTTAAAAGAAGAAAAAATAATATATCAAAGTAAGTTATTATAATAAAGAATTAAAAAAAAATAAGAAGTCAATTAAAAAATTAATTAATGAATAATTTAGATTTTACTTGATTTGCTAAAGAGATTATCAGTGAAATAATACATTATATATCACAAGAAGTTAAACAAAGCTTAATATATTAATAAATATTCAATTAAATACTTACTTACAATATTACTTGTTTTCATACAATTTAATTTACACCATATTAAAGCAATAATATATTCCTCAGATTAGTATGTGCAAATTTATAGGGATTAAGTAAAGAGAAATCAAATACTATGGTATTGTTAATTAAAATATTTATAAAAAATTTAAAGTTTTAAAATAAAAATTTTTTATTATTTTCTTTTTGAATCATTTAAATTGATTAATTGAATACAAATATTTTAGAAAAAATTATGAAGTAATTTAATTATATAAGGATATCAGTAAATTATTTTAGATTTAATATTTATGAAAGATTACAGTTTTAAAAATACAAGCTGTTTTGATGATACAAAGAAATCTTTATCATTTTAACAAATGAGTTTATTAGAATTCATTGATTAATTTAGAAATCATACAATAACTTTTAATTTAATGAATTATTATTTTTTAGAGTAAAAAATATTAAATTTATTATCAGAAATATACCTTTAATATAACATTACTTTTTTTTGTTTGATTTTAGTCCATAAAACTTTATTAGCTAAAATTTAATCGAATTACAATAATTTTTTTTAAAATTCATACATAAATAGCTAACTTTTGTATTAACTGTTAAAGTTACATTATAGCTCAAGATATATCATACTACTTTATTCACTTTTTAACATATTATTATCCCAGAAGTATGAAAGATAAATAAATAAGTTAGTTACAAAGTCTAAATTTGCAACAAAACTAAATCAAATAATTTCATTAGTCATAGCCTGGCCACAAGCAAAATAGTTAATCAATTAATACTATTCCTATATACAAACAAACTCTACAGGAAAAAATATATAATAAAGTTCTAGATAACATAAATTTTGATGATTTCAATTTAAATGGTAAGCAAAAGTTGAGAAACAACTTTTTTTAACCTTAAACTGCAAAATAAATGGAATAAAAATAACTCAATTTTAATTCTACAAAGAATTTATAAAATAATGTAGATAAAATAAATATACTCTCTAAACAGATTGAAAACAGCTAGAATGGAATCTAGAAAAAAAAATTTAAAAATTAGACTTTTTTAGGATTATCTTTTTAATCTAACGAATATGATTAAGATTAGTCTAAATTTCATTCATAAAATATTGATCATCTTAGCAAAGCGAATCAATCAAGTAACACATTTCTAAATGATCAATCTGAAAATTATAGAGTATAGTTCAATAGAGATTAATTTCGATAGTAAAGTGGATTGAGATCACCTAATTAGGATTAAAAAAATAGAAAATTTACACTATCTTTATTAAATAAGGAAAAGAAAATTGAAGGTAAAAAAGTTTTTTATTGCTTAAAAAATGCTATTAAGTAAGACTCAATCAAGTAACTTTAACAGTTAACAATATTTCAATAAGGTAAATATAACATTAAATTCACAAATATTTTTCTATATCATTACTTTAAAATTAATTGAATATTGGTTTATATTTTTTTCTAAAAAATGTCCAAAAGCAATTATTTCAGATGATTTAAAATAAAATTTTATCCCTAAAATGCTAAATGTACAGCATTTGTCTCCTAATAGAAACATGCATAATGAAGATATGAGTGGTATACATTCAGCTACTTCTGCTTTAAACAAATAAGCTAAAATAGATGAAATTAGAGGTGATCATTAATCTAAACTCCTTGCCAATATGAAGCTTAGAAATCAAAAAAGGATTTCTTCTTAAAACTTTTCAAACGAAAGAAATGCTATGTCTGTAATATCTAGCTCTTCGAAAAATCACTTCAAAGATTAGTCAGTTCACATTCAATAAAGCTCAAATTAAAATTCTTAGATAGTTGGTTTGAACAAGCAGCCTTCTATGCACATGGAAAAGCATTAATCTAATAGAATTTCAAGTTAATTTAAAAAAATGGCCTTTATTTATTAAAATGATGTTCATGCATAGAATAATGGCATTGATTAAAAGCTTTTAATGATAATAAAGATTTTAGATTCTAGAACTAAAATAATAAAAGACCTTAAAGCTTTTAATCTAGATAATACTATATTATGTAATATATATTATTTATATATTATTAAGATTAATATTTATAAATCTTGATATAATTTTATAGAACTAATGGATATAATGAAGTTTGGAATTGAATATGATGACTTAGATTTAATGATGGAAGTAATTATGGCTATGGGAGATGTTTATGTTATGTTTGGAGATCTACAATCAGCTTTAAATGCTTTTAACACTGTGGTATGAATTTTTATAAATCAATAAATTGATTAAAATATTTTATACCTAGAGAGTCCTCTCAGACTTCACTCAAAACTTTAAAAAAAAAATTGAATGTCATCTGCATTTATCTTAAGTATCAAAAAAGCTCAAGTTGTACTAGTATGCACTAAAATTTATGAAAAAGGCTTTACAATATGTGTGGGAAATAAAGGATGTTGACACAGAGATCCATATATATGAAGAGATAGGACTCATATTTTTTCATCTTTCAAACTTAGAAAAAGCTGCATAATTCCATCAAAGGTAATTAAATTTTCTATAATAAAAATTTAATAAGATGTTCATTTAATTCTGTTAGGGCAATAAATGGAGGAGTAGAGTATATTAATAGTAATTAAAGGTAGTAGGCAAGCAAAAATCTGCATTTTTATTTGTCAAACTTAGAGAATAAAATAGAATCAATTGACAAATATATAACTTTAAAAATACCGATGCTTCCATTTTAATTTGTTCCAATTGGTATGAAATAATGATTTGAAAATAAATTCAATAAATAACTTGTTTATTTAAATTAAAAGAAGAAAATGAAGTAATTCCTCAACATATTGTAAATAATTACATGAAAAAGAACAAGGTGAAATTGATATTTGATGCAAAAGGATTTAAATCAGAAATGAGTGAGTAATATTAATTAGAGCAAATATTTGCAAGTGATGAATTTTATATTGAGATTTAAACTCCTAGAAGTAATCAAATTATACTAAATTTTACTAGATTAATAATAAAAAAAAAATATTGTTTGTAGATGATTCTCAATTAAATAGATTTGCCAACAACGAAGAAGAAATCATTTTAAAGGATTTAGATGAAAAAGAATAAGATTATTTAGTAAAATCAAGCATTAGATTCGGTCACAATAGAAGTGAATCTTAAAAATTTGTAAATAATTTGAAATCCTTAAACTATTTTTAGCTTAATTAAATATAAAAATATACTTTTAATTTTTTTACAAGATTCCTCCAAAGCATTTGATGAAAAAGCAAGATTACAATACCACTTTCTATTTGAATGAAAGTTTGAAAAAAAAATCTTTGGAAGAAAAAATTAAAGATAGAGTAGAAGAGCTGAAGTTGTGGGAAAAAAGAGATCACTTAGGAAAATTAATGAGCAACCCATTTATTAAGAGTGGACACTCTAAAATTAATTAAATAGTGCAAATAAACCATTTAGGTGTAAATAGAAATGTTGATAATTTTGACAACTCCCAGAATATTCAAATCTCTAAATCTAATATGTTTTTTAATAAAATAATATCCTAACAATACTAAAAAAATGTAAAAATAAATATGTGATTCAAAACAAATAAAAGAAAACGGAAGGGGCCACTCATTTTATAAAAAACTATATATAAACAATTAAATCATAAAAATTATTAGTGGCTTTAATGGGATTTTTAATTTAATTATTAAAAACTCAGGAAAAATGTAAATAGAGTATTTATTGAGAGTAACAGAGATATATCCTGATTGGAAAGTTTGTAGATTCCTTTAGACAAATTAAAAATCAAATAAATTTTACCTCAATAGTATATATATTAATCACTTGCTTATTTAAACTTAATAAAAAAAATTAAATTACTATGTAGATATCAAAATTATTGGTATTAAAGTAAATAGAAAACTTCGTAAATAGAACTAAATATGTGTTATTGTTTAGCAAGTAATTAGCAATCTGCTTATATGTATCTAAGCAATCTTAAATAAAATTAAAATAATTAAAAAAAGAATGTATGAATGAATGCTGATGGATAGGTAAATGCCCATCATAGATTAATAATCTGTTTACATTCAATTTTTATGAAGCTTATTTACTTAATTTTAAATTCTTTTACTAACATTTAAGAGAATTTCTTTTTAAAGATGAATACATTCTTTAAATTTTCTCTTTAAATTACAGAAACTTCATAGAAGAATTTTTTAATTAAGCTTTATTATTTCAATCGATTTTTAATTTTTATTTAATAAAAACACTGACATACATACATACGTATATCCACTTTTATTTGTTTACTTGGATATAATTAGACTAATAATTTGAAAAATATTATTAAATGCTTTTGTTAATTCAGATATTTAAAAATTTCGATTATTACTTTTACAAATGCACAAAAAATCTTTCTTTTCTTCAAAAATTTGATTAATTTTCAATATATTTTGATTAATTGATAAATTAAATTTATTTGAAATGAATGAGTTTAACAATGGAACAAAATACTTAAGTAATCGATTCCATAAAATCCAATTTTTAATATAATAAACTACAAAAAATATGATGAATATTTGTTTTAAAAAATATTATTAATATAAGTAAATAATAAATATTATGTTATGATACATTTTTACTGAATATGAGTTTTAACTTTTATTTATGTAAAAGAACATTTTAAGTATTTGTTATATAAAATAATTAAAAGGCAAATGATGGAAATGGAAAAGAAATTTTCTAAATTCCTTCATAAGATAGTCAAAAAAAGAATTTTTTATACTTTCTAATGCCTTTAAAAAGGATTTGTTATTATACTGTTTTTAATTTTTATAATTACTTTGCTTTTTGAAGAAAATATAGAGTTAATAATAAAAGAATGTATAAGGTAGTTTTTACTTCATTAAGCAATGTTTAATAATTAGTTTTTTAATATATATTTAATATAGCTGTTTTTCATGCATTATTGATTTATAGATTACTCATTTTAATGCTTTTAGAGGGCATTTCAAAAGCTAGGTTCTTCGAAGGAAGAAAATTAGTTGTTAGTTTGGTTTAAATTGTTGTTGTTGTTGTTATTGTTTACAGGCTTGTAATACTTTTACAGGAGTATATGTATGTCGAAATCGTACTATATGTTTTCTTTAAGATCAATTATTTTTTATTCATGATCATTAAACTCTCTAATATTTAAGAGAGTACATATATTTTAGGCTTCAGTGTCTAACTCAATAATTTATAAAACAAAATCATAGTCTGTATTATTTTAGATACTTGAGCTAGAAGATTCGGATGAGAAGCTGGAATTTAGGTTTCCTGATTCTTCAACTTTGCAATTTTTGAAATTGAGACAATATGAATAAGCAGAAGAGGGAACCTGGAGGTCATCGAAAGTAATTAAATTAACTTTTTACAAGAGTTCGGGAGTGCTTGCAATTTGCTCATTTACAGAGAGATTAATATTGAGATAATTTAAAACTAATTATTAGGAAATTTTTAGTCTGCTCTTGGTGTCAAAAAAGTTAGGGCGACCTTATCTCATGATAATTGTTGAGAGATGCTCATTTTCACATCCCATGATAGCAAGAAGGAATTAATTAAATCCAAATTCATATTCTTCGAGATTTTGTGAGTGAATGTTGTATCTTTTCTTTGAGTATAAAAAGATCTTACCCTAGTTATTAAGTTAAGCAAAAGTTTAATCACATTACTATTCAAATTCTTTCAAACGGGTAGCATAAATTTCATCTTCTTCTTCAATGGTTGATGAGTTGCTGGAAACTAAGTTGCTTGACTTAAGAATAGATGAGCGCTACTTTGATAAGATGAGTTTGTTGCAAACCTATTACCATCTGTCGAGATTATGAGCATATGATTAAATTTCATCATGATTGCACATCTTCATGAAGTTGCTAATTATTGAAAAGTCGCGCATAGTTGTACCATATGATCCAATGTTCATTTTGTTGATAAGTTTACCAGGATGAACTTCTACATTAAGAGGAGGCTTCCAGTGGTTTTAGGATGAAAATTTCTTATCAGAAACGAAATCAGTTTCAATCAAGATATCTCCAAATATGTTATAGTCCTTATTAGGAAGTATTTCCCACTTGTTATGAAGGAAAAGCATGGGTTCATGGTTGATTCTATTTCTAATATAAACTTAATCAGAGTTAGCAGATGACTATTAAGGAGAAACAGATAAGAGACAGCTATTATTTTCAGTCATATCGATATCCTCTTATTTGACTTGACTGTAATTGCTATTAGATGAAAGACTTAATCTTTACTTAGTTTAGCTGGATTACTACATAGAAGAGGAGTTAGATAAAGGATTTGTATTTACAGAGAAGCTTTAGTTAGATTCTTCATTTAGATGGGATTCGCTCTCTGAAATAACTCCTTAATTTATTTTGTTTTGGAGAACAGGGCAAGAAATTACTTTGGAGTTATTTACATCCTTCTTAACATCTTTAGACTTAGAGCTTTTGTTAAGAAGCTTCTATTTTTACTACTTTAAAGTAGGCTTTTTATGAATAGCCTTTCCTTTCCTCAAAGCGTAAGGTTTATTTTCAATGCCAGACTATTAAAGCGAGTGGCTCTTATTTTTATCACTTGTCATTTTTAGTAAATAATTTAAATATTCAGTATATAAGAAAGCTGTAAGAGTGTATCTTCAACTTAAATAAATGAATGAATGATTGTTTGTTTGTTTGATTGATTGACAATAAATAAATTGTTTTGTTAAAAACTTAATTTTTTTGTTTTACTATTTTTTTATATTTTTTTCTTCTTCCTTTAGTGCTCAAAGATTAATTTCGATTTATCTCTTCTATTAAAATTAAGCTAACCTTCCTTTGCTTACAACTATTTTTATGATAATAAAAAAGGAAATAAATGATCTTCTAACAAACATAAAATATGAATATTTATTAGGGTATTAGATATTGCATAATATTCATCTAGTTCCTATTTGTATGCAAGTTTATTTTTCTTTTTCCCAACTCCTATATTTAAATAAAAAATTTATAGTATGATCTAATGACTTATAAAGAAAACAAGCTTAACATTTTTCTTTTTGAAATATACTCATGAATCAAATGACTTGTTTAAACGCAGAAATGTTAAATCTATCATTTTTTAAAAACTGATTGAATGCTTATTCCAAATCCAGCTCAAAAGCTAGTTAAAAGTAGTCTAAAAAACATTTTAAATTCAAATTGCTATTGCTTATAATTATTCTAGAAATTTTTGTTCTACTTGAACCAATTTTTAATTAAACCAATAAAATGTGGATTTACACAGTTTAATTTAAAAATGGCTAAAAAATAGATATGTAGATAGAAAAATAAATAGATGATTTTTAATTATAAAAAGCAAATACATAAAATACAAATCGAAATATTAACTTAAGTAATTTAAATATTTATTTTAAAACTAAACAAATAAAACAATAAAAATATTAGAAAGACATCAATTGTTTTTTATAAAAATACAAAAAGCAAATTATTTAAATTTTTAATTGTTTAATATATTTTTTCTATCAGTTTTCTAGTATTGAGTCTTTAATCATTGGTAAGTATGTTTTGATGCTTTAAATTATTTCTTTTAATTATTAATTTTAAAAATAAGAAAAATAAATTTTTTAAATATTTTAATGAAAGATAAAATTAACATTATCTTCTAAAAAAACATTTTAATTGGAATTTTTAATTTTAAAAGAAATATTTTTCCTAAATTATTTTAAATACTTAACTAAATATATATAGAATTTTAATCTATTAAATTGGGGTTGGGGTTGGGGTTGGGGTTGGGGTTGGGGTTGGGGTTGGGG